ACATCTCGGTGAACTTGGCTATGGCCGATATCGATTAGAACATTATTATTAGGGTCACTTCAAGCCTGCGCGAAGCCAAATCGAATTAGTAGTCTTCAGTATAAAACTTGACAGTGCCATCAGGACAGCTCCCTTCTTTAATTATTATCGTTTTTAAAATACTTACTCCTTTTCATGTCACCACCTCTTCTACATGTCAATTAACATTAACATACTGAACTGTGTTAACTAGAAATATTCTATAACACATTATAGTGTATTTATTAACATCAAGTTGTCTAAAATTGGATTACTAGGAAAAAACAAACGACACACAAGACACAAGTCATAAGATCAAAAATAAAAAAAAAAGATTTTAACGTATATAATGATTTTTGTGACAACCCTAACCAGAATTAGCATTATTTAAGCACTAATAGTAGCGGAAAAGTGGCTCAAGTCCTATTTGCAATTCATATCCTTGCACTGCTTCACACAGCTCACTAACACTGTTAGTATAATTTGCCAAACATTCAATTATACCATACTGGCTGATGCTGGTGAAAGGTTAGAATTCGTAATGTCACGGCGAGTGTTCGTGTATTGATCTGTGAATGGTACTATGACTATAAGGATTGATGAAAATTGAAAAATTAGCGACTTTCAATCGCTTCGCTCTAATACGCCTCTAGGGGCATTTTCCGTGTTTCTTTTACTGAAATTTTCTCGACGTACATTTTCCTATATAGTTAAGTTATATACCACGCGACCCGAGCCGCCAACAAACCTAGTAGACTAATAAAAAACGTAAAAAGTAAATACAATTTCATGCTCAAAGCTTGTTCAAAATATATTTACCATATATATATGTAGTATACTATGCATAAAAATCCTTGTATGTTCTCTATACACTACAAAACGGCTGGAGCTATTTTGATAAAATTTTCAGGCAATATTCGGATTAGGCCAGCGAGTGATCTTGTGAAGTTTGATAGCAATCGGAAGAGTAAACGCGGGCGAAGTCGCTGATACTGAGCTAGTTATTTAATATTTGATATGTTCTTTTTAGTGTAGGAACTAAAGTAATTTAATCAGTTGTTAATAAATACTAAATTTAGGCTCAACCTCTCGGGATAAAAGTTCATTATCATTCACAATTTTGTGTAACATTAATTATGTTGATAAGCAACTTGCCCTCGTTTCTCCTCGCGTCCCTTGTACGTGGATTTTGTTCACAGCTTCATGGGTTTTAATTTTTTGCGCGGAAACTTATTTTTTTTCTAAAATAAAAGTAGCCTAAGTTCTCCTTATAACATCAGCTATCTGCCAGTGAAAGTACCGTCAAAATTAGTCCAGCCGTTATGGAAATTAGTCGGAATAGACAGGCAAAAAAGAATTAAAAATTGTTTTTTCTTATTAGTAGGTACCGTACCGCAGGTAATTATACACATTCATGTATATTTGGTAAAAAGTAATTTATATGGGACCACCTGGGAAGTATACCCTTTAAAATAAAATAAAAATTCCAAATCGGTTCAGGCGATTTCGAGTAATCAGTGAACAAACATAAAAAAAAAGATTCAGGCGAATTGAGAACCTCCTCCTTTTTGGATGTCGGTTAATAAAGTTCTTGGTAATATTGAATTTAACAAATCCATGAGAGTGAAAGTAAAAGAACTGTAAAAAATATTAAAGGATCAAAACGGTTTAATTGCCAGATTAAGTCTTCGGATTTACGCACACACGCGATAGAGCGCTACTGCGCGTGTGTGTGCGCGTCAAATGCCTAAATTCGCTCATTTAGATTTCGTATACAGCCTCTTAAGCACTGAAAACATCAAGTTTCACTCAAAGGAAACATTATTTTATTTTTAAAAATTTTTAAAAGAGGTGACTGGTGGTCACTAATTTATCGAATTAATAGACATTGGATAGTCTTGGTAAAGATGAAATGTCTCGAATGAAAATTAAGTTTTATATACAATTTAATAATCGATTTTTTGTCATCCAAATAACAGAGGGTCCGAAGAAAAAATAAAAATACCAAATATCTAGTATCAAAATATATTAACGCTCTATAAAATTTCATACAACATAGTGATACCTTACATTTTTTTTAATATCACAGCGTCTAAAACAAGCAACTAAGCAGCGAGCGAGGAAAAAGTTTCATCATTCAATCCAATTTTCTTGTTAATGGTTTAAAAAAGTTTATAAACTAAAAATGTCATAAGTAGAAAAAAAATGTCTAATCTTAAGGACATGTTATTTGTAAAAAAACGATGTTAACAGTTTGGATTTTAATAAATTATAGTTTTTGGTAAGTAGTACATGAGAAAATAATTCTCCATGGTAACTTAAACATGGTAAAAAAAAAGCATAAGAATATTGTATAATATCTTAAAGTTATTTAAAATAAAAAAAAGTACATAGCTATTCTTACAGATTAAAAAAACTACTTAATTTCAAAGAAATCACAAACTACAACTGGGCGAATAAATATTAATTCTAAATAATGAAAATTGTTAAAATTAACTATCGATACAAGTAAGTAGTAATAGTAAGCAATTTTTCATAAAAATTATGCCTAAATAGTCTATGTCTTTAAATAACCTGTCACAGAAGCATTTTAAATCATAAGATTTTTAGAAATTTTGGAGTAAATTTTTTTTTGAGTATACTTTAAAAATACTGCCATTTTACTTTTAATCTTAGCCTTTAACGACCTTTAAAAAAACGTGTGTGTGTACGTACTTATGCACGTTAAAAGTTATACTTCTTTGGCGTAACAGAACAAAAATAGTTAAAGATTTCATCCCGTATGTTACAACTCTCTGTTTATAAAAGGAATGATAAATTAATAAAATAATTTAATAAGGCATATTACAAACATATATTTATAGAATATCATTTGAGAAAAGAATATAACATTATATATCATTTGTCAGACCATAACAACGGTTACCATGGTAACAAACAGTTATCAGCTAACTTCATCATGTCGCTTTTTGGCTGTCGGTGTGCGCATCGTAAAAATTTTACTCTCATAATTTTTTCCAAACGTTCCAAAAGAAGTACAACTTCAAAAAAAAAAGATTAAATAATAACCATACGTAGCAAGTTATTCTGTGTTAGTTATAAAATATAGGATATAAAAATATGATTATAAAATAAAAATAAAATGTTGGCTTATACACTGCTACAGATCTAATACAAATATCATTAAGACAAAAATAAATGCAATGAAAATGTCTTAATTTTATTAATTTATTACCAACAATATGAAATATACTAGAGACCAGATTATAGCAATAACATATGCTTTTGCATATTTAGCCCATTTTCATTGGTTATAGCATATTTTACCTAAAATCTTGTAATGATGCATATTTTCGCTATATTCGCAAAATTTCTCAGTAGTGATAATGAACAACTGAAATCTTACGTTATATATCGTTTTCTAAAATACTCTGTAAAATTTTCAACTGTACCTATTTACGGTTCGTGAGATACAGCCCTCTGACAGACAGCGGAAGCTAAGTAATAGGGTTCCGTTGGCACTCTTCGGGTACGGTACCTTAAAAAACTAAAGGCTACTTACTATTTTTTATTATTTAATGTCGCATATTTTGACACTTTTCATGAATATTTGCATGCAAATTTCAAGATTATTATGTCGCATATAACCCGGTTTCTAATATTATGTACATATATCATAAGTTAATAACAAAACATTCATTACAATTAATCACGCAAAAAAACCTGCCAATTCTAACAAGACCGTAATTACATATTACATAAGAATTCAACTCGTGACCTCAGACAGACTAAGGATTAATATAGACGGAGTATCATAGAACTAAACCATGAAGCCAAACAATGTTTTAAAACAGTATTAATAGAATATACGGTTTTTTTATAATAATAAAAAAAATAATTAGGCTAATATAATGGCTATTAATAAACACAACTAATGCTTAAAAAAATACAAAAGATTATAGTATAATTTATATATTATATATATATATATATTATTTTCAAAATTTGTAAATTAACGACTAATACCTACAAAATTTCCGTTATACTTTAAAGAAAGTAAACTATATGTATGGAAAAATCGAGAATAGTAGCATATACAACAAATTTACGCTACTATTGTTGACTTTGACATTCTTTTGGCGAGCTCCATCTATACAATTTTTTAGTCTGAGCTTTTAACAGTTATTAATAGTATGTTTCAAGCGATTCCACTTCATTACAATAACACTTCATTGACTTAGGGCAGAATTTCTTTTTTTATAACATATTATTCACACATGGTAGAAGTGAAACTTCAAAAAATGACCTACGAGAGAATGAGATGAATATTGAGTATCAGGAGTAGGAAAATTATAAGGTTTATTTTTTTTATATTTTTACCAAGTTTAAAAGTTATTTTACATTTAATTTGACATAAATATACATTACATATTATTCAGTAATTAATTTTATTATTTTACACTTCCTATGTAATGTATTCTATCTCAAATAACAACGGTTACCATGGTAACATGGCAATGTATTCTATCTCATTCTCTCGCCGGCTTAATCCCTTATATTTATGTGTTTGTCTCTTTTTAGTGTTACATTTCCGTTTCATCGAGTTTTAAATCACAACGATTCTAAAGTACCTAGTTTCATTTCAAAAATGAACAATTTTATCTGTGACATAAGACAGTACTCATTAAAATAAATCACATATCATCTGTATCCTAAAATGTACGCTTGACATAATTTTTAACACAATTTAACCAATTCGAAAAAAACATCAAATAATTATTTTAGTGCATATTTAATTTAAGATGTATATTTTTTTCAAACAAATTAATACGAGATTATCCTCATGCTTTAAATTGACTACTAAAAAAACACAAAAACTATAATAAGTGTTTTTTTTTTTAGAAATCATGAAAGAAAAACCAAACACACTATTGAATTCATCTTAAAAGGCGTAGATCAATCTTTTTCCTACCTGCTATCTAGTTACGAGCTTCGCAAGTCAGTTCGCACGTCGACCGGAGTTCTAAGAAAAATGGTCCTTCTTGAGCCGGATAGAAGGTGGAAGGAGTCAATGTGTAACGTCCCGCTGGGAGGTTGTGTAGTTCCAAATATACAAAACCGGATCTAAAATATTATATGTAAAGCTTTGTATACTGTTGGAATTGCGATTGTGTGTTAGTTTGTCACTATTTTATCTAACAACGAAGGAATTGATTGAAGTTTGATATTTTGCTGACATGCTTTCTCTTTAAAGAGTGACTTCTTCTTTATAAAATCACTAGCTACATTTTAACAGTTAGCATGGAATAGATATACTATATATTAGTATACATATATGTATATATACATAGGTATGATGAGTTTTATATCTCTCACTTGAGAAATGATTGATTCTCCATCCCCCTTTTTACCCTTTAAGGGATGATTTCCGGGATGAAAACTATCCTATACCCTTCCCAGAATCTCATACTATCTTCATGTCAAATTTCATCTAATTCGATTTTTTTTCTGTTTATATTATTATTAGTATACATAGTTATAGCCAACATGTTGACATAACACCACAATAGTATTATAAATGTGAGTCTTTCATCTGTCAAAGCCACGGATAAGATGAAGTTTATAATGTTTCTCCCAATGTACCTTACATCGATTAAAGTATCTTATCATAACAATATAATATATAATAGGATGAAGCAAAAAAATTTTTTTTCTTAGCCTTTGGAGGTAGAAAAATTGAAGGTTATAAAAAAAAATTTTACTTAACATTCTACCCCCAAAAGCTAAGAAAAAATATATTTTTTCACTCCATCCCAATATATAATAAAGAACCCTCACCTATACGGCCCAGAGGATTCTTTCAAAAAAGGCGCAGTCACATTCGGATCATCCAAACTTTCAACCCTCGCGTCTATGCCTATCTGGTACTGTTTGGGCCCCTTGAGTTCCGCCACCATGTTGCATGGGGTCCGACTGTCGGGGACGGTTATGGTGTATTTAGGGTTATTTGGGTATGTTTGTCGATGGTTTTCGCACCCACCGGCCGTAAGACCCGACCATTCACCTCGTATCTGTGGATGAACTTATATATAAGAAAGACCTCTGATAAATCGCTTTACTTTTAAAGATTATAGAAAATTATTCGAGCATTGGAAGTGATGTTTTTTTAAGTTTTTTTTACAGATGATAAAAAAATGAACAATATTTTTTTAAATAACGCATTAAATAAAATAAATTACCAAAACTAAATTAGCAATCTGCAACAATCTCGTTAAAAAAATGACAGCCATATTTTGGCTTTAAATGTATAAACACTCAAATATCAATAATATTATAATGAACAAATAACACAACCTCTTTGAATAATTTTGAAACAAAAGAACCATAAACAACTTACAGTTTTCTTATACGGATACGGCTCTATCTTCCCCATAGAGAAGGGACATGTAGCGTACGCCCTCAGAGTATAAAATATTGTTCTAGTCTTTTCATACTGTGACACCACTAATGTGTATTTGTCGCAACTTGTATCACCCACGATGATTTTACATAAATAATGTGGACTATTTATTCTGATTCCATCTATGTAGGGTGGTGGGTCATCTGGAAAAAGATATGAATTTTTTACTACTATTTTTGGCTATGATTGCTTGTCGAAATATTTAATGAATCATAATTTTAAATACTTCATAAGTAAACTATCGACTTACTCTCGCTTCGCTCGGGTGCGTCCCTAGGTACGATTTAATTTTATTGAGCGGAACTTTTTTTTAAATAAAAGTAGCCTACGTTACTCCTTATAACACCAGCTGCCAGTGAAAGTTCTGTCAAAATCAGTCCAGCCGTTTTGGAACAAACAGTCAGACAGACAATCAAAAATGTTAAAAATTGTGTTTTTCTCATAGGTAGCTATATAATTTCATCACGTTTGACTATACCTCGTTGGTGTAGAAGCCAGCATATAATATCTCTATTGAGCTGCAGATCTGGAAGTCCTGAGTTCGCTTCCCAGGTCGGGCTAATTATACTTATTAGTTTTATTGTTATTGTCAAATAGCCCTAAAAGCACGTAAAGCCGGTCGATTTGCACACCCACTACAATTTGAGAATGAAAGAAAAAAAACATGCACGTCTGTTTGCACGCATACTCATGCACTAAAATATCTTCTACGTAAATAGCTAGCCTTATTCGTTATCTCATTTCCACTCTTTCCCCTATAAACTCTTACTCTTTCTATATCCCCCCACTCCTTTCCAACTCCCTCCCACCCAATACTCACACGGATAATACACCCGTTTGCCATCCTTATACACCAACAACGTGATATATTCCTTATTATCTCGGAAATCATCTATCTTTGTTATGTGTCGTGTTAGAAGAAGCCACACAGCGCCTTTTCCCTGCACGTGCAATCTGAATTGAGGGTTTTCACTGATGTTGTACGCATCTTTTACTGGACCATTGCCGGCATCCCACTTTCTGTTCAGAATAGGCAAATAAATATATTGAGACATTACCACACAGCACCATCTAGTTCCATGGTAACGATGCTTGTGTTATGGATACCAGATAGTTGATACACTACACATATATAACTTTAAATAAATACATATTATAAATTGGTCATAAACGCCGAAATATTCTTTATTTCTTAGCAAAATTATAGGATATAATGAATTTTTTGTCCTTAACTTGAAAAATGATTTGTTCCCAATACAAACTTTCAATGTCTATTTCATCCCTTTCAAATAACATTTTTGCGATTGAGAGTATCCTATGTCCTCGTCCAAGGTCCCATCCTTCTCTATACAAAACTTCATCAAAATCGGTTCAGCGGTTTAGTTGTGAAAACGTAACAGACAGACAGAGTAACTTTCGCATGTATAATATTAGAATAGATATTATTAATTTTTAAAATTATTAATAATAATTTCGTACTATCCATAAATACAATACAAATTCTCAACAATACGCTACCAATACTCACTGATGTATGCAATACGTAAAATTAAACAGTGCTGGGTTCCAATTCAAGTAGAACACATCGAAGAACTTGAGTATACTGGCGTAGTCTATCCAGAAGACGCCATTATCGTATTGAGACGCACTGTCTGGGTCGTAGTTGAGAAGACCTCGTAATTCTGGGGTCCAGTGGACCGTGTCGAGCTCACTATAATTGCCTCTCCAACGGAGATGAGACCAGGGATTTTTGAGTTTTAGCAGTTTTATACCCTGGAAATGGAAAAGAGAAGTGGTTCAATTAGATTCACTTGCCACATTTATTGATTATGGTAAGTTCCATCAAAAATGAGCATTTTTAAAACTAAAATTATGGTGGACAAGATCCTCACTGAAGTTATCATAATTTATTTTTTCCAAATGAACAGACGGATACGGATGATGAAATTTAAAACTAATAGGATAATATAATAAATAAAAAGGAAATAGCAAAAACTTAAATAAGTTACCAGGTCAATTTTGAAATAACTAAAATGCATTATTAGGATTTTAAAACATTTATCTTAGATATTATTCATTATTTTTTAAATACAAAAATGACACCAAAGTATCTTAGAATATTTGTTAATTTTAATTTTAAACAATATTAATAATTTCAATAAGTTTTATACTTGAATATTTAATACTTACAGTTGCCTACCCATACAAACTTTCATCCCCATTTTCACCCCGTTAAGGGATAATTTCCGGGATAAAAACTATCCTATGTCCTTTCCAGGGTCTCAAACTATCTTCTTACATCTAAATCGTTACAGTAGTATCGGAGCCTATTCGATACAAACAAACAAACTAACAAACAAAAAAACAAATTTTTCCTCTTTATAATATTATTATTTAATTTTAATTGCTGTGATTAGAATTATTACAATATTTTTTTAAATAATATATAATTAATCTTACTTTGTGTCACTATTATTATATTTGAAGACTCACATTGACCATTTTAACATCCAACACGGCATACGCATGAGTGGCTACCAGCCCAGTCCTCTCTGCCTGCAAATCGTCCAGCTCTCCAGTGGCTGCAGTCGCTAGGACTTCGCCCCTCTCTAGTCTGGAGCGTACGGTCTCGTATAGGGCTTCAGCATTGAAGTCTGTTTCACCAGCACGGAGCGCACACCGTTCTGGGATCCACCCTGTTAGCGCGTGCAGGTCTATATTCTAAAGGATAGTGATAACGCATATTTTATATTTTCGTACTAGATATCTTCAAGGTTTAGATCAAATTTTGTATTTCTATTTAGGTGGCTTTTATTGAAAAAACGCAATTTTAATATGTTTTCCGAAAAATCAAAAATAAACGCCCAGCGAAGCTTGGTCGCGATTATTCTCATACTTACACTATTAGACCCAGGAAAGTCATATCCTCCCATCACCTTCATATAGGCCTTTTCTAACAATGACACCCAAAATTCATTCTTATTACTCGAATAGGAACACAATAACCGTCCATGCCTGCTATATGGCAAGCGATCATCAATTATTATCTAAAAATAAGAAGAAAAGTTCACTATACATACTCTAAAAGAACCGCATCAAAACCGGTCTAATTTCAACATTTTTTTTTATTTTTCTATACTATACCTTTCTTCTAACCCCATTTAAATGTAACTTGACCATATATTTTCCAAACGGGTTGTATACAGGCTGTTTGTTTTTGTTCTTGGGATATATTATAGAGGTGATAATTTTTTTGTTAAACCTTCGCTCATACAACGCACTGACCGCTAAAGACGCTACAAACGAACAATCAGAAACTACCTGAAAAAATTAAATAAAAAATGATTTAAAATTATGACTATAAATATATTTTTTAAGTATCAATATAGTTGCAGTATAGTAATGATAAAATTAAGAAAATCTTTCACTGTTAAATAAACGAATAAGTTCACTTTTAATAAACTAAAGTCAATTTTAAAAAATCTATAAGAACTAAACTAGTGACCAACAAATGAAAAAAAAGAGCACAAACTATGGTTTTACAGAGGTTCATATTAAAAAAAACTCTGTCGTACTTATAAAGGTTCAAATATACATCTATACTTAATATTAAAAGAGGAAAGATTTTTTTGTCTGTTTGTTTGTACCGAATAAGCTCCGAAACTATTGAACCGATTTAGATGTTTGGTAAGAAGATAGTTTGAGACCCTGGGAAGTACAAGAATATTTTTATACAGAAAATCATCCCTAAAAGGGGGTGAAAATGGGGATAAAGTTTTGTATGGGGAAGCAACCTAGGGACGAACCCGAGCGTAGCGGGTGAGTCGCTAGTTAGACATAAATTAAACACGACTTTAAAGATTACATTACATATATAAAAAACAGTATACTTAAAAAACAAGGAGAAAATACGAAACTAACCGTCTGTTTAATACTAAAACAGTCAACATGGTCGCCAACAATCATCTTTGGGTCACTTGACACTTCATGAGGTCTGACCCATCCATCAAACTCCTTCTCCTGCTTCGAAGATAACTTTAATTCACTCGCTCTATCTTCAAAGGGCAGTGCGTATTGAAATTTCTCCGATAAATCAACATCCATGAATGGCAAAAAATAATTATTATTAATATTTGATGTCATTCTTAAAACTTCTTTTTCTTCGTCCGTATAACTCTGTTTACCGCTCACTTTCAATTGTACACTTTGTTCTCGTTGTAATTGAGCTCTATTTGGTGATATAGCTGTTGAGTTTGAACGAATTTAGATTAAAAATATTGAAAATTTATGTTTATATAATAGTTGTTGCAGGTTTGATTCTTGTGGACAAATGTTGGTCATTATTTGTATATTCTGATTTATTTTAATTATGTAAAACAAAGTGTGGCTCACTGATAGCTAGTATTTATCCCTATCTACTTTATATTTGAAACTAATTTCAGAAATTACTATACAGATCTTTTTAAGGATATGAAGAAATAACAATTATAATAATAGGGGTAAAAAATGACAATTCTGAAATTTTCTGTCTTTAAAACTACATAAAATTGTTTTTGGTAAAAAATATTGAATTAATAAAAAAGTTAGAACACACTAAAATTAATCAGCTTAAAATATAAATTAAAAACTAACCTGGTTTCTTTGATTCAGTTATTGACAATGCACCCATCTTTTTAATTCCTTTAATTTCCTCTGCCCTGTCTAATGCTTGTGCTGCTAAGCCATTTATTTTTGTTTTTATATCTGGATTAATAATTTTCTATAAAAAAAAGTAAAATATATAAAAAAAAATGATTCTGTATATTTTAAGATTGTCTTTGGCTGCAATTTTGCATACAATTAAAGTTTTTAGTTATGTCATGCTTGATATATTTGAAATCAAAACTGTTATTTTCTCGATATCAGGCTCACCGTAAGGCACTGGCCCATTCAGGCAGATAATTCAAGGCTGCACTGCTACCAAGCACTTTGTACATGGCACATACCCGAACAGACAAGGAATCTCTCATCAGCCAAAGCTACGAGGAAGAAAATTCACGTACCGTCACAATCAATTTAGCGATACGACCACAAGTTACATGATGAGATGCATATACTACTCGGGCAACGAGAAGGACATTATAGGCTGATTTATGGGGCGGGTCTGGGCCTAGGCTTTTGCGGTTTCCGTACGACATGGCTTTGCATGGTAGTTTAGGTGCAGGCCTACCCTACCACCTCCTTCAGAGATGGTAGGGGGGCGTTGGTCTTGGGAGCAGCGCAGGTCGCAAAGATCCCCAAGACAAGTTCGGTGGACTAGCCTTCTCGAGGTTGCCAGCCCTGTTATAGGTCTATTTCCATCCGAAATAGACATAACTGAAACCACCGGACGGTTCAATCCAGGGGAATATATAGTGTATATAATATATGTAAAATTATTAATATGTAGTCTACTTTTACTGTTTTCCCCACAATCAATATTACCGTATTATATTAAAACATCACGGCAAGTAGGTGGGCCGTGACTATTATAGTATTTTTAAAATAAAATATATGTATGTTTATCATAATTTATTATACATATCTATGTGCCTGGGCATGCACCGAAATAAGATAGCCCGTTATTTATGTATGTCTATCAAGTATTATTTCAATTATATTGATACACCTACCTGCGCTAGAGCCTGCGCAGTTGAGCGCTGTACGCGCGGATGACGGAGTCCTGGGAGGTTGAGTCGAGCCAGACCAGCCGACAACACGCCCCTTTGGTCCCGAGTTCGTGCTAAACAGTACCCCCGAGCCTAACCAGCCCGGGGGAAACGGCTATACGTCCCGTCAGAGGGCCGTAGGTGAGGTACGGGGGGGGAAGCGGAAGGTCATGCTGATGGAGTAAGGGTGTGTGGAACAACTGGTAGATCAGAATCCGGTCCTCCAGCCACACATAGCACGCGGCCTTCGGGCACGTGCGTCTGAGCTCCAGATGTCGCACTGTACGCCATCCCTTCTTACCTATATCTGCTTGGTAGTCCTAGTGCTCATAGAGCACTCCCAGTTGCGGGCTCCGAGGAGGGTGGGAAGCCAGGCAGATGAAAACAAAACAAAACAACTATGGATTTAACAGGATTCATTAAAACAAAAACAAAGGTGGCATCGGAGGGAAACCCCAAAGAAGCCCCTAAAAAAACACTAAACACGAACGCGTCCGGTGAGCCGAGCACAGGTTTTCCTGTAGGAGGTTCCCACGCCACTCCCCAACAGGGCAGCAAAGGGAAGGCTGGCAAAGGAACTAAGGGGCAACCCAAAGTCCCTAAGCCCGCCCTACCGGGCCCTAATAAACCAATGAGGTCAGTGGAGGCCACACCAGGCCCCCTTTCCTCATCACTTCCGGGCCACCCCAAACCGGTTGCAGCAACTGCAAGCGTTAGAGGCGAGGAGGCAACCAGGCGACTGGAGGCCCCCCCAATTTCGACTGCAGCTGAAGCAACCGACAAGGGGAAGAGGGAGGTTGGAAATGCTCCATCGGCACCCCGAACCGGCTCAGCGAAGGCCAACGCTGAAGTAGACGTGGAGGCATCCAAGAAATTGGAACTGCCCCCGTCCGCCGAAGCAACGGCTATCGCGAAGGCTGGAAAGGAGGCGGCCACGGCTGCATCCACAACCACTCACTTGAGTACGGAAGAAACAGGAGGACCATGGACTGTGGTAACCTTCCGTAAAACAAACAGGCACCCCCCGCAAGGGGAACCTAACCAGAACACCGGCAACGAAGCAGGAACCACAACAGCGAAGAGGCTAAGGAAGAGACCGAACGCAGTCGCCAGGTGGAAGCGTAAGAGGCGAGCCGGAATAACCACGGTGGCGCCTACACCCAACACCTCGGCAGATGCTGCCGACCCAAAACAGTGCGCAAGTGGTATGCAGCCCCAAAAGGCGGAAACCTCCGGTTCCGCCAGCGGAGGCAGCGGGACCAACAAGCGACACAGACCAGATGAGTCAATAACGCCTAGCGGAGAGAACAAAAAAGCCCGCACAGGCGCAACTCCACGAAGCTACGCAGAGGCTGCGAAATCAGACTTAATAGCAGCCATTACAGCAAGCAACTCAGGGCACCTAACCAGAGAACAGGCGGAGGAAACCCAAGAGTTGCTAAATAACAAACTTTGGGCCTTAGTTCAGGCCAAAGCTAAAGACCCACCAACCTTCCAAGGCAGACCCACCTATTTCGGCGGATCACTACAAATTTGGTGTATGAACATGGAAGCTATGAACTGGCTGAAAACAGCAATCCATGGCCACACTCTAACATCCGGAGTTAAGGTCGAGGTCAAAAAGCAGTCGGACCTCCCAAAGAAAATCCGTTGCGGAATATTAATACCGGGGAAAGTCGAACCTAAACAAATAGGTGAGGCCCTCCGCTACTTTAACCCGTGGGCAGGAGTCGAACGGTGGTTACTGCACTCCGCCCGCGAACAAACCGCAGGAACTTTTATTGTGGTCAGCATACCAGAGGACCTGACCAACGCCATACTGGAACGAGGACGGCAGCTCTGTTACTTACTGGGCGCCGTCTACGTTAAATTTGAAGTAAGGAAGGGCAGGTTTTCGGAAACACCACCGGATCAAACCGTGGATAAAGATACATCCATCGAAATGGACACCACCGAGCAAGCTCAACACCCCAGCACTGACGACGGGGACAATAACCTCCCATCAGCGGATCCGGCCGATGCACCGCACGATCAGGCGAACGTCGAAATGGCGAACGTCAGTGATGAGGCGAAGAGCATCGGGGATTGGGCCGCCCAGGGGATAGAGGAACTCGACCTTGGTACAGGGGATGACTCGGATGACGGAGTCCCTTTTACCAAATAGTCGAGCCCTCCAGATCAACCTCCACCACAGTCTCACCGCTACAGCGCAGCTACGCAAGTGGTTGGAGGTAAATAACACAGCCGTAGCGTTCATCCAGGAACCCTGGTTATCCCGATCAGGGTCCATACAAGGATTAAACAACATCAAAGGTAAGATAATAACAAGCAATGAACCCCAAACAAGGGCCGCTATTTACATTACAAATAACATTCCTGTGCAGATCCTAACAGATTTCTGTTCTAGAGACATCTGCACAATTAAAACAGCCAAGACTACGACGACGTCACGGGAAGTAGTCCTCTCTTCGGTATATATGCCGGATGGAGAGGACCCTCCCCCCCAAGACCTGGTGCGACTCGTCAACTACTGCGAAGCAGAAGGGCTAGATATCATCGTTGCCACGGATTCAAACTGCCACCACACAATCTGGGGTAACGAAAACACAAACAACAGAGGTAAGACCTTAATTGAATATTTATCAACCACTACCTTAGACGTTATTAACACAGGTAATAAACCTACATTTGTAACAAGGCGTGCCAGTACCATTATTGACCTCACGCTAGCAAACGAAGGTGGGGCCAAACTGATATCCAACTGGCATGTGTCCGACGAGGCTTCCTGCTCGGACCACAGATGGATATGCTTTGACTTAGGACTTACCCCTATACCCCCCAACCCTTCAGGAACGTCCGGAAAACAGATAAAGTAGCTTTTCGCAGACTACTCATAGAGGGCTTGCGAGAGCTTGATTATCCGGAAAAGATAACAGACACTGACAACATTGAACAACTAGTCAACAAATTAACGCTGTTAATGAAAACATGCTATGAGGCAACCTGCCCATTAATATACCCTCCGGAAAACCCAGCAGACAAACGGTCATGGTGGGGTCCAGAGTTAAAACGCCTTAGAACCAAGGTTAGGAAAGCCTTCAACAGGGCTATGAATACATATAACGATCAAGATTGGGACCAGTACAAAAACGTTAAGGCCATGTACAAAAAACGTATAAGATATTGGAGGAACCGTGCATGGCGGAAATACTGTGATTCCATAGAATCGTTTATACAGGCTAACAGAATCCGGAAAATCCTCACCGGACAATCACAACGAGAACTGGGTTCACTAAGGAAACCAGATAACACTTATACCAAATCATTAGAAGAATCACACCAAGTGCTTCTGCAGACGCATTTTCCCGACTGCTCAATGGTTAATGAACACAAGTGGTTAGACGTAAACCACAATGCAACAGATACCTCTTGGCAAGTTGCGTCAGAGGTCATAAACACCAATAAAATAGCGTGGGCCATCAAAAGCTTCCAACCATTCAAGGCGCCGGGTCTAGATGGAATCTACCCTGCCTTTATACAATGGGGAGGCCCGAGACTGCACCACACACTTAACAAAATATACCAGGCATGTTTGGCGTATGGCTACGTGCCTAAAACCTGGAGAGAAGTTAAAGTAATCTTCATACCGAAACCAGGTAGAACAGATTACTCGGATGCAAAATCCTACAGACCAATCAGTCTCACATCTTTCTTACTTAAGACTATGGAAAGATTATGTGATAGACACCTGAGAGATAACGCTTTAGCTAAAACACCCTTACACAGGAATCAACATGCCTATAGTTCAGGCAAATCAACGGAATCAGCGCTTCATGCAGTAGTATACAAAATCGAAGAGGCACTAGATACCAAAGACATTTGTGTAGGCACCTTTATTGACATTGAAGGTGCTTTTGACAAAACCAACTTCACTAGTATCAAAGCCGCACTCAGTAGACATAAGGTAAATCCAGTAATAACTGACTGGATCCAATACATGCTAGCGAACAGAGTGGTCAGGCTAGGTAACAGCAACAAACAAGGTGCCATCGTGGCCAAAGGATGTCCTCAAGGAGGAGTACTCTCACCCCTCTTATGGAACCTAGTAGTCAACGACCTAATAACCCTGCTCAACAACAACAGATATTATACGATAGGCTATGCAGATGACCTAGCCATCCTCGTAACGGGCAAATTCACAAGTACAGTCTGTGAATTAACTCAGACAGCCCTAAATATAGTCGAAAAATGGTGCTATGACTATAATCTGAGTGTTAACCCACGCAAAACAGAACTAATAATGTTCACAAACAAAAGAGCTCTAGGAAGCTACACCCTGCCGAAACTCTTTAACTCCACCTTAACATTAACCACAGAGGTAAAATACCTTGGAATTACCTTAGATAGCAAACTAAATTGGTCTAAACACCTAGACAATTTACTAAACAAAGCCAGTATCACCTTCTGGCAATGCCGAAGGATGATAGGTAAAAAATGGGGCCTTAATCCCAAAATAACTCTATGGCTATATACATCGGTAATACGACCTATGATCAGCTATGGTGCCTTAGTGTGGTGGCGTAGAACACTTTTGACCACAGCACAAACCAAGCTACAAAGCTGGCAAAGGCTGGTGTGCATGGCAGTGACGGGCTGCATGAGAACAACACCAACCGCAGCTCTCGAAGCCATGCTAAACCTTTTACCGCTTCACTTGTTTATACAACAAGAGGCTGCGTCTACCGCGATAAGACTAGATGGTCAAAAACTGCTAAGGAAAACAGGCACTCCACATACAAAAATCCTAATGGACGTAGCCAAAGACATTCCTCTTATGGGAGCACCCAATGACGGAATACAAATAAAATACATTTTTGACAAAAAATATAAAATACAGCTGGAGGAAGATACACATGAAGGTCGCGACAGTAAGGACCTAAGAATCTACACCGACGGCTCGAAAACCAAATCGGGGACTGGCTGTGGCATTTTCTCCGATGATTTAAACATTAAAACCTCAATACCTCTAGGTACCTACAACACGGTGTTTCAAGCTGAAAGTCTAGGTATCCTTGAGGCAGCCAGAACAATTGCGGCAAAGAAGGTGGAAGACTGCTCCATCCGCATATTATCAGACAGCATGTCAGCACTACAGGCATTAAATAGTAATTCTACCACATCAGGTATGATCTATGAATGTCATAAGGCCTTGACACAGGTAAGTGACCGGAATGAGATCACCTTACAATGGATCAAAGGCCACAGTAACTCGTGGGGGAACGATAAGGCAGATGAGCTAGCAAGAAGGGGTTCGGACATGACGGCGATAGGACCAGAGCCCATCGTCTCGTTACCTTCTTGCTGGCTCAAAGGCCAAATCCGACAACGAACTAAACGCCAACACAACAATGTATGGCGTGAAGTTGTAGACTGTAGACAGGCGAAAGAATCGCTTCCAAACATTGATGCCAAAATATCGAACCGTATCATCAAACTTAACAGACCTCAACTCAGGCAAATAACCGCGGCCTTAACCGGCCACGGACCATATAATAAACATCTATTTAATATAGGTATAACTGACAGTCCACTTTGCAGGGCGTGCATGGGGGCAGATGAAACGGCTGCACATGTGATCTTGTATTGTCCAGGTGTAGCGACGTACCGGGCTCAACATCTTGGCACTCCTGGGTCACTCCCGGAAATTTTCGGCAAGACGAAGAGGTTGCTGAAGTTCCTGGAGGAACTGGGGTGGCAAGAGTAACAAGAAGTTAATTTCCCACACACGCAAAATAGGCGCATAGTCGTCGAGTTGCGGAAAACAGCCCGAACATACCATACCATACCATACCATAGGCTGATTTATCCAGCGTGCTGAAAAGAATTCCATAAGGGGTATATCTAATATACTACAATGACTAAAGATAGCAATCACGCAGAGAAACGAAAAGATAATCAGAATACTGGCATCCTATACCATACGTGCCAGCAACCCTCGCCAAAAAGACCTAGGACCGTAAGAAGACAAAGAGACCAATCGGGGAGCTAGCTTCCTACATCAATAATGTCAATCTCACACAAAGAAGACCTAAGAGCGCATTACTAACTTGCAGCACAACCACTTTCAAAGCACCAATAAGTTGTAATGATGTACTCATTTAGCCTGAATTGAAATTTAACTGAATCACTTTTCCTAATTTTTCAAAGAAAAAAGAAATCAAGACAAAATAAAACCAAACTCAAAGAAAGGCCAAGGAAAAAGGTCTGTGGTATTCACATGTTTTTTAAAAAATATTCTCTCTGAGGCAACTTTGACAGGAGGTGAAACATCATCAACTTATCTTGACAGTTAAACCCTATGATCATACTTGGTCTGAACTGAGACTCGAACGCAGGATATTTTTCAAAGGTAATATATATAACCATTGGTTATACATGTATAACCAAGTTAACCAGAAAAAGGCAAAAATTTGCTCTTTGTTTTAATTAAGTTTTCATTTCTTTAATTAAGATAAATATTGTGTAATAAATCAAAATGTGCTGTGTTTAGCAACATAGCATTTTTACAAATGGATATGATGTAATAATATCTGTTACTACCATATACTTCTATCATACTGGGCAAGTACTGAGGTTTTTCAAGGCATTTTCAGTATGAATAAATATAACTACGTAGTAATATACTCACAACACTAACTGCCAATTCTACTGCCTGAGTATACAGTTGCAAAGCTAAATCTGTTAAACTGGCTTCATCTGCATCTAAGGCTTGTTGCATAAGGAAATAACATTTTTGCATTATTCTCTCACCTTCTTCTTGTTGTGCTCGTTCTAAAAATAATTTATAAAAGTGAAATACTTTATACTTTCAAACATAATTACATAATATTATAATCCACACTAATATTATAAATGTGAAAGTGTGTTTGTTTGTTTGTCCTTTTTTCACATCGAAATAGAGTTGCACAGTTACAGCTGAACAGGACGGATTAGTGTGATTTTTTGTTAGAAATAGTTGGAGGGCTGGAGTCTTCTTTTTACCATGGGATATTATCTAATTCTCACAGGAAAGCATGTTCTAAGACAACCCAAAAAAATATTTATAATCAAAATTACTTGATACTTGCTCTTCAATAAAATTAAATAAATATATGTTTTAGCATTTTTTGAAATTCATCCTATAAGGGGGTTAAATACGGGATGAAAATGTGTATGAAACTACCTTATTAGAGATTTTTTGCAGTTTTAGCGCGAGCAAAGCCACGTGTTCTGCTAGTCCTTTATATAAATTTTATTTATTAATAGAAATAATATTTTAAATGTCTATTTTAGTTTATGTATAGACAACTCAATTTATGTCTGTTGTTTTATCTGCACTGCAGTCTACCCTTGTGCATTAGAAAAGTAGCAATACTTTCTACTCTAATAATACGCTAGTAATTCATAATTATCAATGAATTATTAATATTTAGTATTCAACATCCATTGTCTCTTTCTATCACTTTCACTTTATTATTAAAAAAAGCAAAAAGGATGAAAAGAGGTATACCTACTTTATTCAGAAACTATTACCGTGTCAAGTGATCTATATTCATCTGCAATAATATATATAAAGCTATATGGCAATCTATTAAACAATAAACAACTAGCGTGAGTCATCAAAGAATAGCGGTAAAAAGTTGCACATTTTCTATTTATATAATATTCTTAGGAAAATCAAGAACCTTTTTGTTCCTGCAAAAATGTGGCTCGTTCTAAGTATTCTCTAACTTTCTGTCGCAAGTCTCCTTCTCTTTCTGGTGATATCTGACCACACACACGATCCAGCAACCTCGCAGCTGTTCGATAACATTCTACAGCTTTGTCAGTTTGTCCAGTTTGATCAAAAGTCACAGCAAGAGAAGCTGCTTCTGTTGCATTCATAAAATCACTCATTTTTGTTAAAATTCAATGTTATTCTAACAACAATATTGTAATCAGATCAACTTCATATACAAACACCACTATTTTCACTCATTTCTGTTTACTGTCGCTGTCAAACCTCGAAACTTATTTTCTGTCAAGTGTCAACTATCAATGACTTCGAATACCCTAACACCACTAAAAATTAAAAAAAAATGAAATCGAAAACATCAAACCATGCATTGGTAAATTAAAAATTTGGTATGATAAATTAAAGAATTTGCTTTAATATACAAACAAATATTGCAATACCTAGGAAACAATATGTATATCTTATTTAATTTCTCAAATAAATTTAATTATCATACTCAAATAAAAAATAAGTACTTCTATAAACCCACAAGTGTATATCAAACTTTACATTTGACATTAGCAAAATGTCATCTTTTCACTTTTGATTTTCTAGTAGGTAGTAGTTCTGTTTCTCATCTAGGTATTCATAAAACGTTGTTCATTAATTCATTTGTTGGTCGTGTTCGTGTACTGTGACTTTTTATATATGTTCTATTGTGAAATAGGATAGTGAATTTAATATTTAGTTTCATTGTTATTTTATTGTGTATAATTTTTAGTACTGGGGCAGTGTAATTCGTAATTCTCTTTTTTGTTAAAAATTGCGAAGAATTTCGAAATGGCCTCAGATGTTTTAGCAACTTCTGAAACTGGAATTCGCGAGAACTTGGTGATTATCTCCATTTAATTACTATTACATACCATCAATTGCTGCTAAGTTTGTGTTTGACACTTTTGTAGATATTTTGTGAGATTTGCCTGCAAAAAGGACATTATACATAGTAAAGAAACAACTAATATGACCTTCACACTACAAAGAACATACCTATTAAATAAGCAAGTTGTAATAATGAATAAATGATTTCAAATTACATATTTATAGATACATCACCAGAACTTTATAAACTATACTTTTACTACTTAATTAAATATTTATTGTATATAAATTAATGACTTCACTTAAATAAGTATTATTATTTTAAAAGTAATTTCTATTAAAAGTGATTATAAATTATGTGTCATTAGAACCAACAAAAAAATATAATGAATACAGCAATTTTAGCTATTGTTCCTATAAGACTTACTTCATATTATATTTCATATAATATATTACTCCATAATTGTTAATTCATTTAGTTACTGCAAAGTTTTATAGGTTTTTTACTGTATTTTATTAACATAAACACAATGATTTTATATAAAAATACTTCATAATATATTTTTAAACAATGGTTATTCATCATTTAGATAAAAACATAAAGCGTTTGGTAGTAATTGCATGTTATATGTTATTTAAAATTATAAAACATTTCATGAAAAAGTTGGTGTAATGGATATTTTGTATGACAAATAAAATAAATAAATAAATATGTTGACATATTAACACACAGCACCATCTAGTTCCATGGTAAGCTACGAGGCCTGTGTTATGGATACCAGATAGTTGATACACTACACATATATAACTTTAATTACATACATATTATAAATATAAACACCCATGACTGAAATACAAACATTCATGCTCATCACACAAATGATTACTCCGCAGCGAGACTCGAACCCGCAACAGCTGGCACAGCAAGTAGGTTCACTACAAACTGAACCAAACATATTGTCTAATGAATAATGTCAAATGAATGTTTAGTATTATTTTTTTGTAGTTTATTGAATAGATGTCAATACATTTATTAAACTGCTAAATGTATGGGTAATCTGTAGCTAAGGTGAATTAATAGGTGAAAATTATATTATATGAGTTTAAAGCTATTGTTTAGTTTCAGGTAACAACAGCTATCAAATTTCTCTCGAACCCCAATGTGCAAAGATGTACTATGGAAAGTAAAGAAAGATTTCTTAGAAGCAAAGGTCTTTCTGATCTAGAAATACGCAAAGCGCTTGAGAAATGTGGAGACCTACTAGATGCTCCTTCACTGACTTCAGAACTGATGATGTTTCATCATTCAAGAAGGTCATGGTTTAAAGAGAAGATTGTGCCCTTGATAATGTATGGTGGTTTCATCTATGGTTGCTACTGGCTTTATAAGGTATCTAAATATTAAATAATAATGAATAACCAATAAAATGATTTCTTTAGTGATATAATAATAAAAAAACGTGTGTGTGTACTTATGTACGCGTACATAAGAAGTGATACTTCTTTGCCGTAACAGTACAAACATAGCTAAAGATTTCTGTTTGTAAAAGGAATGATAAACTAATAAAAACATATGTCCTTCCCAGGGTCTCAAACTATTTTCTTACCAAATTTCATCTAAATTGGTTCAGTAGATCCTGAGATTACCCCCTACAATGTCACAAACTCACAAACTTTACCTTTTATAATATTAGTATAGATGAGGCATTTGTATTTGTATATTATTCTATTGTCTATTAGACTATATATATCTATACATATAAAAAAATTCTGAGTCGAATCTGTACATTAAATATTTTTTGGAAAATCTTATTGAAATAGTGATTATTATCGATACAGAGGCCAAATCTATAGTTTTAGAATTTTTGTCTGTCTGTCTGGGAACGCATCGCAAGCAATTTTTGGACTAATTTGTTTTGGCGCAAAATAGATGGTGGTCATATGAAAACTGATGAATTCATAATTTTATAAAAATATTGTCTATCAGTATAAAAATATGTCTGATAGAGCCTAAAGAATTAACTTAATTACACTATTACTAATTCCGTGACATTTTTGCTGTCAATTTGGGTTGATAACAGAAGCAATGTTATTTTTTTTTCACATTTGATTGATAGGTTCTGGGAGAAGGTCACAAAATCTACAGCTTTATAATATTATGTGCTATATTTTTATATTATACTGATAATATTGATATATGTTGCATACTGGCTTGTTAAGCGTGTAGATAAAATAGGTCGTTGTACGATAAATAATAAAAAACTACCAAATTTTCTTCATACACGAACACGTCTATAGATATATTGATTCGTAATGCATAATATATAATGTCTTGTATATATATGTAATATGTATATAGAAGAGAAGCTTGTTATATTTTGTACGATAAGAATTTACGTATTTTATAAACATACATATGTCACACGATCGAAAATTATACAAAGAATGACCTTCCACAATAATTTTGTGATATATAATATTTAGCTGCTATAAATAAAAAAAACAATTGAAAATATAACTATGAACAACGTAAAAATTTCATTTTCTAAGGCACTTATTCTTTTTACGGAGGAAATAGGTATTATATGTACCTACTAGCGGCTCACCCTCACTTTGCTCGGGTTCGCATCTAGAAAAACCTGGATGTTCCGGGATAAAAAGTAGACTTTATGCTTTCCCAGATTATAATCTATCTGTGTGCCAAATTTCATCCAGATCCGTTCAGCAGTTCTGGCGTGACATCCAATCATCCAAACATCTAATCTTTTAGATTTATAATATTAGGAACATGTGTTACGTGTTTGTTTTTATGAGATATAAGTATTATTTACAATCTTAGTTTACTGCTCCCGTGTGAAAGAAACTCTTATAGCTCCTTTTCATATACGGGAATAACGTAAAAAAAACTTAAAAGTAGCCTATACCATTTTCCAAACTAAATATGTACCCACTAGTGTCTTGTTAAAGTCTTAATAATCACATACTACAATTCTACTTCATTTATACACTAGCTTTTGCTTCCCTTGCTTACCTCTCATTGTCATTTTTTATAATATTTCCGCTCTAAAGGGTAGTGTGTGAGACTTACAAGTGCAAAATTTTATTTTTTTATAAAATATATATATATATATATATATATATATATATATATATATATATATATGTATGTATGTATATATTATTTTCGATTTCATTTTCATTATTTCTGACTCTCCATGATTTTAATATAAACTTTACAGAATTGCATCAGACATCTTATATTTGTCGAACAACCGAAACCAAAAACAACAGCAGAATGTATAGATGAGCTCCGCAAATCATTAGACGTTATGAACTCGAGCATTGCTTCCCTGCGAGGGGACGTACAGTCTTCGTTGAAACGCAACGCGATGAGATCAGAATTGGACAATTTAAAGGCAGATATCGCATCGGTTAAAGGCATCTTGCTTAATAGGTAAGCTGTTATTTATTATCTCACCCTACAGACTTTTTCATTTCCAAAACTCAACAAATTTTGATGTTCATAGAAACTCCTGTACAATAATGCATTTTCGTTTATACCCAATTTCCTCTAAAAATCTTTACTAATTGCTTCTTTACATACAATTTTTATATAATTTCACAGGTCATATATAAATAATTACCTTATGTTGAGACAAGACAACATCTGTCGATCATCATCATCAGTTTACCAAAAACAAAACGCTTTTGTTTATTAGGTCGCGTTGCTGTAAAATTTGATTCATACTAATATGCTAAATGTAAATTCGTGTTTCGTGATATTTTCTATTCATGCCAATTGAAAATATCAATTTTGCACAAAAGTACTTTCACGAACAATAAGTTTACAATCACGAAATTCAAATTTGTTACGATTTCTTCCATGAGTAAAATCTGTTATTATACTCCCTATATCTTTCTACGCAGGCCTCCTTTGAAAAACTTAACTATTTACATATATTGAATTATCTTTTTATCATAATACATCTGTGTGTAAAAAAATGCAACAGATATTGCTCTAGGTGTTTCGTTATGTTTGAAAGTTCCTTAGTTCAGATTACAATCAGATATGAGTTGAATTGAGTTATGGATGCCAGATATTTTGTACTACACCTATATAATCCATCACACAAATGAATGTCCCCAGCGGGACTTGAACTAGCGACCACTGGCACAGGAAGTAGGGTCACCACAAACTGAGCCAAACGGGACGCCATAACAGCATGGACTATGAATGAGCGATAAATGATGCCGTGGGCCTGAAACTAATATTGTATAAAAAACTTAAAAGGCTGACGTTTAGCGCAAAGCGTCATTCATACATCTTTTGATTGATTGACACACGACTGTATGTCTAAAGCACCGCCATTTATCGTTGGATTTTGATAAGTCGGCCCAATAAATAATATAATATTTAGATAACTCTCATTTTTCGATATCTCGTGATATTGACACATAAAAATACTGAATTGTTATGACACACTTGTTCCTTGTTTCCTTGCGTCGTTCACACTCGTATTTCCTCCGAAAGTCTATAGATTTCTTTTATGATGTTTTTTATTCCACCCTATAGTAGAAAGCCAAACATTCCCAGTCAATCCAAACCTTACAGACCGATGTCCGAAAATATTGAGCATCTAGACTCAAATAATAGTAATATATGACTATACGTATAGTTTACTGGTAAAAATATAACTAAGTTTAAAATTTTCGGAACTCTTTATTTTGCGAGTCTAACTTCAAATATTAGATTACCGAGAATTAATATTATAAATGTGAAAGTGTGTTTGTTTGTTTGTCCTTCTTTTACGTCGAAACGGAGTGACGGTTTGGCGTGATTTTTTGTGTAGATATAGTTGGGAGGCTGGAGAGTGACATAGGCTACTTTATATCGCGGGAGATCATCTCATTCCCACAGGAAAATACGTTATAATACAACCCGAAAATTATTTATGATGAGAATTACTTCAAACTTAGTATTAATGCTCTTCAATAAAATTAAATGAATACGTGTTTTAGAATTTTTCGAAATTCATTGTATAAGGGGGTAAAATAGGGGATGGGAGTTTGTATGAAACTACCTTTTCTGATATTTTTTTTGAAGTTTTAGCGCGAGCGAAGCCGCGGGTTCTGCTAGTATACAATAATTTTTCTTTTTATTTTGGTCTTATATTAAGCAGATTTGTTAAAAAACTAAAAAAAACCGACTTCCAGGCACTAAATTGTAAAAAATAACTAAACGGGGGTTTTCATTTAGAATAGATACCTAATCGGATATTTTCGAAGTCGGTGCCAGCTGATGCATAGGAAATCTAATATATTTTGATATGTAAAATACATATTTACCTATTACATATTCATATCTAAAATATTGTCCGCTGTCCCTACTTGCTGTGCCAGCGGTCGCGGGTTCGGTTCTCGTTGGGGGCATTCATTTGTGTGATGAGCACGAATATTTGTACTCGTTATATTATAGTTATATATGTGTAGTGTATCAACTATCTGGTATCCATAACACAAGCCTCGTAGCTTACCATGAAACTAGATGGCGCTGTGTGTTAATGTACCAACATATTTATATTTATAGTTGAATTTCAACAGGAACCAGTTTCCCGCATTAAAAACCCGTACAGAACCCCCATCAATACCGGCCTGGCAGCGTCAATCAGAAGAAGCGACGTCCACAGATCCCGTAGAAGAGAAGAAGAAGCCACACAGAAGTAGAAGTCAAAGGTCCGAGTCAGGTGGTTCCAACTCCAGTGAAGGAGAACAAGCTACAAAGAACAGTGATAGCAGTTTGGAGATCATGTGAGTAAATTCTAGTTGTTCGAAATGATTATGGGATATATATTATTATTATTTATTATATACTTCTTCCGACGAAAATCTCGGCCATGGTCTTCTAATGCGCTGTAATTTGGAACCCAAAACAAAGATTATGTTATCAGTAACAAGATGGTTTTATTGGTTAAGAAATTTTCAGTAATAGCTGAGAGTTGGCCCGAGGCGTATTACACCTCGTGCATCGGAGCGGAGTATCGAATTGCCGTCCCACTAGAGTTTCATAGTGAAAAAAATATAGAGAACGTGCACTATAGTGTACTTGTTATAATATATTCTACGCACATGGCTAGTCTCAGTGAGATTGGCCGCCGTGGCAAAAATCTGCTAAGAGCGAATGGATGCAAAATCAAGAGTTTTAAGACCTAGCTGGTTTGTTGATTGATTACGGTCGTGTAGTTCGCGTTGTTCTAAATAACATAACGAGAGACGTAGTTGAAGGCGGTGGAACGCTCCTGGAACTTCTAAAATAGCAGAATGGATTGTAATAATGGATTGAAGAAGCAATCCTCTAGTTGTTGTGGTATGCCCCGGTAGCCCGGTCATTTGGTCGTCGTAGTTATAATTTAACATGTCGTTGATATTATTTTTATCTATACAGAGAAATAAAATTGAAGTATCTGTTTGTAATATCTAAATAAATAACAGATTTTTCCTAAATGCATATGAAAGTATATACGGTACTTATATGAATAATACAATTTTTAAACACTTTCTCTGTCTGTTTGATTGTTCCGGCTAATTTCAAAAACGGCTGGACCGATTTTGACGGGACTTTCACTGGCTGATATAAGGAGTAATTTGGGCTACTTTTATTTTATAGAGAAAGGATTAGGGTTCCGCTCAAAAAAAAATTAAAACGTACCTAGGGACGAACCCGAGCAAAGCGAGGGAGAGTCGCTAGTCTTAAAATAAAAATAATGTCAATGACCTGTTAAATTATAACTCGGATTAATAAATAATCGATATATAATCGGTCATAAATATTGATTTTATTACTTAAAAATACGTATACGTGTGAAATCGTGATAATATATATTATGCACCAAGTAGGCATTTATCGTCATCGCATAAAACGTTTTCTTTGAAAAAAAAAGAGCAAAAATATTTATAAAATAAACAAAGGATTAAATTATTAGGGCTTGCAATAATATTAGAAAAATAAATTATGAAAATACTGAATTACATTTTTGGAAACATTATAAGAAAATGGGCTCTTTATTTTACTCCTAAATATCTTCCCTTACTACGCGCTCTTATTGAAAATTTCTTGACAGAAAGACTTACCTTAAGTATAAATAACATATAACTATCCTTAGGCTCGGTATGGGACTCGAACCCAGGACTTTTGGGTTTTTTTTTATAATATCAACAATTTTTTTTTTCTTTTATGCTCGTTTTCTACGAGTATTATATTTAATATTTTTTCAATTTTTTTACAGAACATGAGTTCCTGCAATTGGAAAACATCTGCTTTAGACATTGTTACTGCTATTAATTAATTTTAGCTTGCCTTTATATTTTTCTATTCGTTCCTAACATTATGCGTGGTGTGATTATTTTTTTTGGTTTTTGATAAAAATAATTAATGGATTTTATTAAAAATATATAATATTTTAAATTGTTTATAATATTTTTTTGTCATCTATTTAATGTTATTATAAAAAATTTGATTTAAAAAAATAACTATTTTTAAAGTATATTTTTTCCATATGAAACGTTTGCAATAAATAAAATATTGTGAAATTCCAATAAAGTGTCTTTTATGTATATATTTTTTTACATTTGACCTTCGATGATAAAAATTGTCCTTATCACGAATCAATTCAATGTCGGATTTCAGTAATCTTGCTATAAAAATGAATACGCACTATTATTGTTTTTATAAAAGATATTTGCAATACTTTTATCTTTTTAAGTTCGAAGTTAGTTGTATTAATTTTTAGGCAATTCGAGTGATTTTGCACCATACGAGTATATCCATCAAATACGACGCCATTTTAATTTAAACACAAATAAGATAATAAGATATAGGCCTTTTTAATATTATTATTAAACTAAAAATTATTTTGTAAAATTGTTATAATATGCCAAAGGTCGAAAACTATTTTTTTAATATTTTTATTAATTTGTTCATGAACTAAGTTATGGTATTTTGGTGTTTCTAGAAATAAAAAATTAAATGTATGTTTGTGTAAAACGGCCAATCTCCTAAAGTTCTACACTGATCACTGAACTTTTGACACATTAGTGTTGTTACAAACTAAATAAAATACTTCAAAAAAAATTGGTTTATAACGTATAAGTCAATTAAAAATAAATAAATAAAATGGAAGGGGACAGATAAGAAAGTAATTAATAAAATATACTAAAAAATATAATTATATTATTAACATTTTATTTAAACAAGCATATCTAAGAATATGTATGGGTATTTTGGTAATGTAATGTTTTAAATATCTATAATCTATATACATATATAATATATGTATATTATATATATTATGTTCTTCCACGCTTGATGTCAATAAGAGTTCATTTATGCAAAAAGGAACCAAGTGATATAACCGATCTTTTCGCATATTATAAAGAGTTGCATTAAATTAGTTGGTTATTTTCTGCATAAATACCTCATACATTTAGGTTAGTCGAAAATCTAATTTGACATTATAGTAGGGGAGCCCAAGAGGAGATTTTGGGATTTAGTCAAGCGCAGCAGATTAACATAAGTTAGATACCTTGCACTCTGAGTACCTCCAACTGTATGTACTCCATAAGTCCTCTGTGTAAGATCGCGATTTTGATAAGTGAGAAATACTCGAGCGAGCGTAAACTTGATAGACGATTTTTGTTTATTCGGCTTATGGAAATCGGTAGATTATTGAATTGCACACTTTTCGGCATGTAATTAGCCCACCACATTTTAATCTGAGGTACTAAAGTATAACTTATACAAAATATTCTTTTAATAATCTGAGCGGCTGCCCTAGGCAGATGACCCTTTATAAAGGGCTTGTATATGGTGTAGGTACTCAACAGAGTGCAAGGTATCCCCATTATGTTAATCTGCCTCGCTTGAGTAAATCCCAAAATCCCCTCTTGGGCTCCCCTACTATAAAAACTTCCACATCTAGCGGTCACAAATTAAATGTAAACAAATGTAATTTTAATTTCGTAAAACCTTCCAATGTTTTTAAATTTATACATTTAATAGGTACCTATATTTTGAATTGTTGTCTATCTATAAGTTAAAGCCGCATAGAGAATATATTTCTATCTAATAAATCCAGCTTTTGGGTTTTGAAACTTTTGGCATTTTTAGTGAATTGTAAGTAACATAGCAATAAATTTATGTAATCTAAATGTAATGGGAGTGTTTAGCAATTCATTTCGTTACTTAGAATAATTAGATAACGAACATAACTGGTTTATAACTAATATATGTAGGTCATCAGTTTTGCCAGATTGTGGTATACAATACTTAACCGAAAACGCATTATAATATCATTCTTATTGCTTAATTATCAAAAAATATTTCTTTTTCCGCTTTTGTATTTAGTAGATTCTCATATGTCGTGATTGAAGTTAAGCAATTTCTGGCAACATTGATGCTTAAAATGACATATTTTGAGTAATGAAGCTCTTTAACATATAATTAATTATAATTAGAGTGTTATAAATTCTGTTTTGTTATTATTTTTTATACAAAAATTAGTCTTAAATGGTACAGTGTAAATATTTTGTGATTTTCTCATATATTTTAAATGGTTGTAACTTTAGTACAACATTCCGAATGTTTGTGAATGTAATAATTATAAATATTATAATATATGGGTGATAAATAAACCAATGATGATATTCGCTTTTTTCATTAATATATCCTTTTCTCCTAAATATCTAATTTCTAGAAAAAATAAAATGTACCAAAAATATAAAACAATACATTATGATATTTAAAAATAAATACTAGCAATAATGAATTTACTGAACAATAGAAAATTTACTAGCTAAAAGAATATTATATTTACCTATTAAATATATCCATAAATAGAATTAAAGAGGTAGGGTTGTCAAAAAAAAAAACAAAAAAACATTTTTAAGACAGTTTTATTTACAAAAATACATCACAAAGTATATATTGAGCTTAAAAGTCCTGTATAATGATAGAACACGGTCACTCCATTAGTTTGGAATTGAGATCAATGAAGGTACACATAAGGAGATATGGACAAAAGCCGCCTCATTCGGTTCGTACACAAAATATAGCATATAAAATTCAACAACCCTACATATCTATTAAACATTTAAATCGATCTACGATATCACTTAATCGCAGCTCGAACACGACATTTAGATAGTGATAATGATTTTATAAATATAATACTGTTAATCCAAAAGAGGCCTAACCTATATTGCCGTCATAAAAAAGAAGACCACAACTTGCTCAAAGTTGATTTCGGGATGTTCAAGTTTTTTCTTAGTACTCAGTAGTTGTTTTGACGTAGTTACGATGAAAATGGTTATGGTATCTAAGAATTCATAAAGACTTAGAGCTTTATGAGTAAGACTATCAACTAGGTTTTTTTTAGCTGATTACGAATTTGCATTTAAGTCATTTTTGACCAAATCGTTAGTTACGGCCTTGTTTATTATAACGGCAGTATATTTTTTTAATTTTCTTAATTGTCACAATTTTATTAAGTATTTACTCCACAATACCTATTAACATGTTCAATAATGTAACTGCCTCGGTGGTGTAGTGGCTAGCATGTACGGTTGCACACCCGGAGGTCCTGGGTTCGAGTCCCGGGTCGGGCCAAGTTTAGTTATTGAGTCTTTCTGTATAGTAAACCTCAGTAACAGCCCGGAGTTGGGAAGTTGGCGGTGTTTCACCCCGTAAAGCCGTCGGTACTGCGCTTTAACTCTCACTGGTCGTGTCGAGCAGTCGTCCCACCGGAGTATGAGAGTGACAGGAATAGAGAGTGCACGTTGTGTCTGCGCGTACACGCGCTGCACTATAATATCTCCTGCGCAGTTGGCTAGTCTCAATGAGATTGGCCGCCGTGGCCGGAATCGGTCAGGAGAACATCAATGTAACAAAATGTTCAGTATAAACACTGTCATTTTTCGAGTTAGGCCACTTTTGCACTGACAGACTCCAATTATATACATATATAATATAAAAAGAGTATAACAATATATAATAACAGTGGAAAAATACAGTATTTCTTATCCCTCAGTCACAAATGAAGCGGCGGAACAACCGTTATACATTTTGTATACAAACACCTTTTAATATGGCACGCTAATGTAAGGTGCACTGAAATAAATTAAGGAAATCTACACACTATTTTTTTTAAATGTTTTAATCATGCCTATGCGTTCATAACCTAATATCAAATAAGTTGTTTGAAATGCGATATTTCGACCCAAACACAAAGTAGGTACAAGATTTTTTTATTATAAGAATCGATTACAAATTGATTGGTTCCAAAATATTAAATAATCGATATTTCAAAACTAGACTTTTTTATACATCTTCTAAGAATGAGTTTTGACGTCAATAGTTATAGGTATAAAATTATAAAGTAATGCGAGTTTAACAAGAAATAAATCATAACCAGATAGCTATTGTTTAAATAAAATTGTAGAAGGAAATAATCATTTATTTAGAAGCATCATCATAATCTTAGTCTGCCGTCATAAAAAAGAAGGCCGCAACTTCGTCAAATTTGATTTCCCGATATTTGAAGTTTTGTCTTAGTACTTAGTAAATATTTTGTACGTAGTTACGATGAAAATAGTTATTGTATCTCCGGGTTCATAAGACTTAGAGCTTTACGAGTAAGACTACCAAAAGGCTTTTTTTTTTGCTGATTCCGAATCCGCATTTAAGTCATTTTTGACCAAATTGTTAGTTAGGGCTTTCTTTATTATGACGGCAGCACTCTTCAGGATACCACAATTGAATCGAAATGCTGTAAAGCATTCAAAACATCGCGTCAGGATCCAAAAATCAAAATAAATCCGCGAAATAATCCGAAAAGATAGTTTTATTTTAAATGTAAAATCGCGTAAATCTAAAAATGTATTATGCGAATCGAAATATCGAATCCAAATTCATAGCACAAAATACAGAACTCCAATGTGAGCAAAGTATATGAAAAAAACATTAATTATAATTTTAAATTATTCAAATTTTAATTTAAATTCAATAACAACTGCTAATAATGAACACAATAACAGCTAATATTAATAAATCATTTTGCTACCTTTGCTTTATTGATCAGAAGGAAAAAAATGAAAAAGTAGGCGTATAATTAGAAAATTCATAATTTATAAAGCTCAGGTACATATCAACTAACACTTTGTATCAATCTTTACTGACCAAAATATTGACTTGATAAGTTAAAATCTATACGAATATTATAAAGAGGCAGAGTTTGTTTGGTTGAACGCGCTAATCTCAGGAATAATTAATCCGATTTGAAAAAAAAATTTTGCGTTAGATAGCTGGTTTTTTGAGGAAGGCTATAGGCTATATATCATCCCGGAAAAATGTCCAGTTCCCGTGGGATAGATTTGTCTTTGTCTAGGGTCGAATCCAAGCGAGAGTGAGAAAACATTAAGACATCAGACTGTCATAAAAGTAGTTGAAATAACAATTTCCGCCTATTTATAATTATGATAGAATTTCTCTTTTTATTTACAAATCAAACATATTTTAACGTATTTATTTTGCATTCATTTTTCTCATAATTAATATATAATCATTATAATATGTTTAGAACAATGAATTATTTGAATATAACTCTAGTATGAAATTAAAAAAAAAAAATAATAGTAACTAATAATAATAAAATGCATTTACTGTATTATTTAGTGCATCTTAGATATAGCGAGAAAATATCATTATAAAGTTTCAGACTGAAATTGTTCGAAACACTTATCAATATATAACGTAATGTAAATATATATGTCTAAATTTATTTCTTTACAATTACCGACATATAAATAACATCACCCCGTATATACATATATAAGCATGAATATATAATATCTAGATACATAAAATATATTTTGTTCATAGCTCATTAATTTTGATTTAAATAATTCATTATTCTTGTTAATGGCTTTAAAGAGTGCCAGTCAAGCACAGATTTCTTCGACAATGTCACGTACAATGGAGAAGACCCCAAGTAGATTGGTCGGTAAAATAATAAAAAAAAAACATTGCATTAATTAACGTCAAATAAAAAAAAATACAAGACAGCGTACATATTTTTAGCACCATACGATATATTAGAATTTTCTCAATTAATTGTTTTTTTTATATGTAAACATTATTTATATTATATAATAATAATATTTATAGGACAAGACTATACAGGGTGACGTAAGTTAATGAGGATCTACATTAAGAAACAACTGGGTGTAACACGATTATATATAACCACAAAAATATTCAATTACAATTATTAGTTTATATTTTCATATCAACATATTCTGTAATTTAAATTGTCAACACTGATAACAATTATTGAAATTAGTGATGACACAAAAACTTGAATATATATCAGGGACGGCCATTGATATGCAAAAACTCAAAGATACACAGTTGCGTCTCAAAAGTGTCCACAAAAAGTAGCACAAAATTCGAATTTGTTAGCTTATTTATTCAAATATCTTTTATTCATTGCTTTTCCGATGACAAAATTAGAACGCACGTTGTTTCGTTAAAAAAAATACTTTAACATCTCCAGGTAATATAACAATAGTTTTCTTAGAAATTTAATATCTAAGAAAAATTTCTAGGAAATGAACTAAATTTCTAAGAAAACTATTGTTAACTGTAATGACGGCGTGTCCGCGGTCGTTGAGGGATTAAACGGTGTGCGTAAGTTCGAATTTGCGTTTAGTCAATTAGAAATTTCGATTTTTGAATTTTATTCTTTGATTAAGTCAAAGATCACATATCATATCGACGTCACGTCACATATAGACGTCAGTTTTTGTAGAGATATTTGTTAGAAAATGTGTATCCCTGTTTTTACATATCAATAGCGAAGGCCTAATATTTCATAATTTTATGATATATGCCCAAACTTTATTTTGTAATATTCAAAGTCTAACGACTCCTAAGAAAACCAAACGCCATTTGCGTCTAACCTAACATCAACCAACGACATCTATTCTAAAAAACATACAGAATATATCGATATGTCTCTATATAATAATACCAATGATAATAATAGAAATTAATCCACTAATAGGTTTTGAATATTTAAAGCAATCTTTTATAATCACTTCATCACACATCGATTTTCAAGCAACAACGGATCCTATACATACCCCCCCTTCCCTCTCCATTTCCCACTCAAAAGGGGGGGAGGGTCGGCCATTAATTCACACCAAATTCAAACCTTAGCTCCAGGGCTGACAGATTATATAATTGGATACGAAAATTGTAAAATATGGTTATTTTATGAATATTTCATTTTAAGTTAGTATGATTTTTTTTATTTAATTTTTTTAATCATCACAGAATATTTCTCAACATTTTTGTTGATTTGTATAATAGAATTTGATTTGGTATAATTTGGTATAAAATAAGTTGGCTCTACTGGCAGCCCTGATTAGCCCCAAGAATTTCCCACTTGAAAAGGGGAGGTCGGTCATTAATTCGCCCCGAATTCAAAATTGAAACCCACAATCCTCAAGCACACGATAATCTATACAAAATCTCTTGAAATTGCACAGCCCAGCTATATACCCCATTACGACCTTACCATATTATTACTCCTTAGATCAGTGTCGTCATACGGACAATTTATCCCATAAACGTTCCTTTCTCAACATATACTAATAAAAACATCAATTTACATTAAAAGAAGAACAAGAAATAACTTTCAAAACCATCTCTACCGCCAAAATTCTTTTTCTTTATCTGCACGAAACGTTAAAAGCCGAAAGCCTTTAAAATTTCGCCAAAAAAAAACAAATCAAATCACCAAAAATTAGAGCTCAAACCGAAAAATTACAATAAAACCTTCTTTTCGAATATATTCTTTTCACATCTAACTATGACGTCATCGTTCCGACCGTTCAAAACCTTTTTGGCCCTAGACAAGTCATCGAGGAAACAACGCCCTTTCTCCGTTCGCATTATTTGCTTTTTGGGCAACAAATTTTTAGACAAATGAGCGATTAATTTCTGCCAATCTTTTAGTAAGAAAAACACTTTATCGTGCCTAGTTTCAATTGGTACCGGACCGTTGGAATATTCGAAGAAAACGTTCATTATCTCTTTAGGGCATCTTGAGACCCTAGTTTGTTTTAATAGGGAAAGCAGTAATTTGTCGACATCTTTATGTGCTATGATGGGTTTGTCGTATATGTTATTGTATAAATTGGAGTTTTCAGCTGGACCGACAACATAAATCACATGGGATGCAAATTCTAAAGCCTCACCCGCCCAAATGTATGGGTCACCGTGGGTAGTTTTAGATATATCATCGTCATACATTACGTCGAAACCGTATTCTGAACGTAAATACGTGACGAAGGATGAAACGCACTCAGCGTGCAAACGGTTAGCGGGAGAATATATCACTAACACTTTTGTTGGTGGCGGTACCTCTGTAACAAAATAGATAAGTATTTATTTTAAATAGCATTATTATTTGAAATAAAACTACCTTTTCGGTTTTTTTCGCGATTTTTTTTTTTATTTTTGGTTCCCTGAACCAATAATCAAAATTAATTCGCGAAAAAATCCGAAAAGGTAGTTTTATTTAAAATGTCAAATAATCGCGTAAATCTAAGAAAATATAGCATTATTATTGTCTTAAGTCTTTCTATCTTTGCTATTGATTTTTTTTAAACAAATTAGAAAATATTTATGACACAGACTTATTCACAGTTATTATTCGTCACATATTCAAAAAACAATATTACAATATTTAAATAAAACTAATATGTGAATAAATGTAATGGATATAGCTTATTTAATATAGATGATAAATTCGAAGTAATCCAATCAAAATCCTAAAGTATAATAAAATAAATAAAAATATGCTATGGAATTACAGGGACTTCGATAAAACGAACTTTTTGTAGCGAATTTTTTTTGAAGGGGGTGAAATAGGGGTTGAAAATTTGTAATGGCAACAAATCATTTCTCAAGTTAAGGGCATAAAAAAATCCTTATATCCTATAATTTTACAGTGTGGGAATACTGTAAACACAAACTCACCCTGTCCGTACTCCTTGCACCAGTACCTCCGGACGGCGCGCAGCACCACGTAGTACGCGAACAGCGTGGCCACCACCAGCGCGCTCACACTCGCTATGCAAATGTTTATCGTGCCAGTTTCACTGCCTGCGGGATGTTGGTAACATTTTAGTATTCTTATACAATCACAATAAAATACAAATATTATAAATGTGTAAGTGATGATAATGATGTAACTAACTATTGTAAAAAAATGAAACACTTTTCTTGTATTAATCTTTATATTGCCAGTAATTAATAAAATTTATAAACACAAAAGAAAATCATATGTCCCGCGCTAAATGTCAAAATATATTCGTCGTCATACTGTTCCTGCCTAGCACCGTGTGTAAACGAACACCACAGAGGCTGTACGAAGGCGTTCAATGTCTTCGACTAAACTAGCGACGCTTAACACTATATTAATAAGGGCCTATCTTTATATATATAATTCTTCTGTGAGTGTGTATGTCACTGAACTTCTCTCAAACGACTGGACCGATTTTGATGAAATTTTTTGTGTGTGTTCAAGGGGATCTGGGAATGGTTTAGATTCACAATTTGAATAATAATTTTCATCAAAATGGTCCAGAATGTTTTAGCTTATTAAAAAAAGTTTGAAATTTTCAAATTAAAGACGTGTAGACAGGACAACGTCTGTCGGGTCCGCTAGTGTTGGTATAAGTTTATAAAGGTACGAGCGACTCATCCCCTCTCCGCTTGGGTACGTCCCTAGTAAAAAACAAAAACAAATCTATCCCACGGGAACCGTACATTTTTTTGGGATAGAAAAATACCTATGTGCTATTCCAGGCTATAATCATCTCTGTGGCTTTCATCCAGATCCGTTCAGCCGTTTTGGCGTGATTGAGTAACAAACAAACATCCATCCATCCAAACTTTCGCATTTATAATATTAATAATAGGTTTGATATATCGTGAGTAGACACTGTATATATATAATAACTTCAACTTTTGAGACATCAAAAATTTTAATATCTCTTGTGACCACATTCGATATAACGCATCCGAAAATTGGAGAACAAATGACATTTTAAATAAAACTCCATCCCGTGACCATGTTTTCTGTAAAGCATTCGAAAGTCAGTAACTAAAAATAAAAAAAAACACAAAAAAAAAACCCGAAAAAAAAAACAGTTTTATTTAAAATGTCAAACATTCGCGTAAATCCAAGAAAGTATTGAACAAATGACATTAAAAAAAATGTCCAAAAAAAAGTGATCAAATCTCACCTATGATAACAATCTTTGGACTTTTCACCGACTGACATCCATCCAAATTGTTTTTACACATTTCATGTATCGGTTTCACAACAAAGTAGTATGAACCAGCCTTAATCAAAAGACTATGATCATATGTCACTTCTCGAGTACAATTTTCCACTTTTAAATAAACACTTTTAACTTTCTCTTCACATTGACTATCTTTGTCGCAATTCCTCATAATGTCTATTTGAAAAGCACTAATTTTGTGGGCCAGCTGTTGAGGCGGTGGCATTATGTTTAACTTCATGGAACTAGTTAGAATTGCAATATAAACAAATGGTTTCCAATCCTCCTCATTTATTGTTGGACCTGAAAAAGATTTAATTTTTTTATGAATAAAAAATACTAGATCAGCTATTGTTTATCTAAAAGTAATGTAAGATATTTTTAGTATATAATATTTATTATAATAAAAAAAAACTTTTTTTTTTATTATACTTAATACTTAATAAAAATTTTAACGTTTCCCATTTTAAAAATATTGCTATGTAACAATAATGTTCCTCTATAATAATTGAATTTGTTTGGTCAAAATAATGTCATCTCTAGCCTCAAATAATTAAAAAAAAAGTGCTTGAAGTAAAACTACTTTGGCAAATATCGTAATTAAATTAAAAGAAACCAATAATTAAATAAGACATATTAGGCATTTTACAATCATATATTTATAGAATATCATATACGGAAAGAATATAATATAACATATTTGTCACATGGCAATATATATTTTATCTCATTCTCTCGCCGGTTTAATTCTATATATTTATTCATTTGCCTCTTTTTAGTGTCGGATTTTCGTTTCATCGAGTTTCAAATCACAACGATTCTAAATAAGTTCCACTTCAAAAATGAGTCAGTTATTTTTTTACACTTAAATGGCTAGACATATTTGGATGAATTTTATGTGTACTTAACACAGGCAGAGTATAATCTGGAGTGAAAGATAGGTTATTATTAGGTACTTAGGGACAGTACGAAGCAAAGTATTTAGCATAATATAAAAATAATAATATTTAAATTAATTAAATGGAATAATTTAAAACACAAATAACTACGGCTACAAAGAATTAAATTAAATATTCTGCTTGTTTTCCTTTATGATAATATATTTACTTATAGTGCATATATTAATAAAGACTCCTTAATATAAACACATGGTTGATAATGGGAGGAAAACATCATCATTAGAAATACATGCAATATTCTTAAGATTTAAGATTATTATAATATCTTAAGAATTTCTTTGAGCAATGAATCTATACATATAATAAAATTGTAACCGAGAAGAATTCTTCAGAGGCCGAATTTATAGTTTTAAGAATTTTTGTTTGTCTGTCTGGGAATGCATCATGAGAAAACCACTGGACAGATTTTGATGAAATTTGGTATGATGATAGCACTTGCAAAGTTTCAAGGCAATATGACAATAAGAAGTAGGTTAAATTTTCATTACCTAGCTATATAAACGACAAGGTTCTGAGGCAACAAACATAAAAAAAACATACAGTTGAATTGAGAACCTCCACCTTTTTGAAGAAGTCGGTTGAAAAAGTATAACAAAAATTGACCTACAGATCTCAAGAGCAACTGACCAAATATATATAACTCTCTCCTTTATCAGTCAGTCAATAATTATAATGTAGGTACAACATCAAAAATCAGAAGACTGACACTAATATTTTAAATGTGAATTTTGTGATTGTGTGTTTGTTATCTTTTTCAATTTTCATAATGGATAAAGAGATTTGAGTGTTTCACAATGGAAAGCATTCAATATATTATTTTTAACTTGCCAAACCCAGGGTATAAACTAGTCATATAAGGAAATAACACCTCTTTTAAAACTATATAGTAGACATGGTATTTACAATGTAGTATTACAGCCTGCTTAGTATATTTATGAAAAAAAAATGGATATTACTATTTCTGTAAGTTGATAATGCAAAAAATTATATAAAAATAATTTTAACATCTTATATTAAATTTTTCTGTTAAAACGGTAGATTAAGCCATTTATCCACTAAAACTTCCATATAAATAATAAAATAAAAATAAATAAATGTTAAATATCAATGTTTGTTTTCAAATTCAATGTTTGTTTAGTATAAACTGACTTTCCAATGTCATTGTTATTATTGTATGGCTTTTTAGTTAAATATGAGCTAAACTTAGAAAAAATATTATTATTCATTTTTATCATAGAGAAACTGCAGTCTGTAATACAGGCTCGGCCTAGTAAAGTCGGCAGTAACAAACCGAAGCAAGTCTCTAATAATTTGTAATTAGCTTATTTTGTGCTTATTGTGAAGAAATGTAACTTAATTAAATTTAATATAAAAATTAGCAAAACACTTACTTAGCATTTGAGCAGATGGTATATTGAAATAATAGCGACCTCTATTAACAACAACATCGTCTGTAGCTTCAAAATCCAGTATGTGGCTCTGACCGTTATAATTTCCATCCGTGAGAGACCAATAACAGTCATAGTATAAAACGGATCGGTCATTTATAGTCACATCGTTAGAAATGACAATATTCCTGCAGTGACTCTCTTTATTGTCATATTTTTGAAACCGAAATTTCAAAGCTAAAATGTTAAAAATATAATACTTATAATATTATCAAATAATAATTTTAACAAAGGAATACATATTACTTTAGTCTTAGACCCTATTTCTGTTTGATAAAAAGGGTAAGACTACTGTATTCAGCACCATTATAAGGCGAATAACATATTTTATATTCTATGACCGATTTAGTTATTCTAATAATTTAAATTTGTATATAATACACTAGCAACTTCCCTCAGGTTCGTCCCTAGCTTGAATCCCAATACAAACTTTCATCCCCATTTTCACCTCCATAAGGTGTGATTTCCAGAATAAAAAGTATCCTATGTCCTTCCCAGGGTCTCAAACTATCTTCTTACCAAATTTCATCTAAATCAGTTCAGTAGATCCAGAGATTACCCCCTACAACGTCACAAACTCGCAAACTTTACATTAGTATGGATATATCTGAAGATATACTAACAAGAATTCCATAAATCCATACTAAAATTATAAATGTGAAAGCGTGTGAGAAAGGATGGATGGATATTTATTACTCTTTCACACCAGAATAGCTGAACAGATCTGGATGAAATTTGGCACAGAAATAGATTATAGTTTGGAATAGCAAATAGCTTACTTTTTATACTGGAAAATGTATGGTTCCCGTGAGATAGATTTGTTTTTATTTTTTTGTTTCGTTGCATTTGTTTTTGTACCAAACATATGATACCAAACTAAATAAATTTATTACTTTTATCACTTTACTTGTTTTTTTAAATACACATTCTAATCATTTTCTTACTATTTGAACATTATAATTTTAAATGTAGAGAGCACTTACTTTTCCATTTTATGTTACTAAAAGTTATATTGAGGACAGTATAGTTAACAGAATAATAGCTTCTATCATCCCGATGAACCAGAGGTAAGATATATGGTTTAAGACTGACTCCACCAATATGAGAATTTGATGATATTGGACCAAAATTGTTCATGCAATCTGAACTGTTTGGTGCTATATATTCAACTTTGCATCTATCATCATCTGAATACTCTTCACCTAGTATCTAAAACATCATTAATTCATAAATTAAGATACAGCAATTGAGATTTAATATATGATATAATATTATTTTCGTATGTTTCATATGTTTCATATCTCATCACAGAAAAAAATACACGACATATAGTTATTAAGTATAATCAAATATGAAATTTAATTAAATAAATCTATTAAGATATAATGTAATCTATAACATGTAATAGATAATAATAATTGGAAATAATTCTTTTAAAAAGGGGTTGTTTGATCGACAAACGTCATTTCAAGGTTGGACATCTGGCTGGATAAATCAATAACTTAATACATATTGTATTTTATAAGCTATTTTGAATGTGTAAACGATATAGATAACAGTTGCCTTTACCTGAGTTGTACAACTGCGAGATATTTTTGTGCTATTTTCACAAAGGTGATTATGCGTGTGTTGTCCAGAAACATAATGAAAAATAAACATTAAAGCGATAAAAAGTAATAGTCTCCCCATTTTGAACCCGCAAATAAATTAGGGACGAAATTTATAAAAATATAATACTTCCATAGCAGCAAAAGATCAACACATAATTAAGATTGAATATTCACTGATTAGATCAAAGCAAATATTATACACAACGTAATAAAACTGTTTACAATACGACGACCATTTGACTACAAAAACAATATGGCAGCACTAGGCAGATTGCAGATGCAGAATACATTCACAGAAGATTAATAAAGTGCAAAAATATTTTTTTAAGATTTATTTCATTTTCAATTTTTTTTCTTTAGGATATTAAAAAAAAAAAATTCACGTTTACGACAAATTATGCTTAGATTGGTTTTTTACAATTTAACCGAACTGAAAAGTATAAAGGGCTAAAACCAAAATAAACATTCAAGAACTTATAAAAGTACGTATATTTAATGCTACATTTACACGCTTGCCGGGGCTTGGCAAACGTCTACAAGCTCCAAGCCTTTACAAACGCTTGGCTTGAATGCCATTTACACGCTTGCGAGTGCATGTTCCGGACAAGCAAGCTGTGCAGACATGGACGTTGAATTTGTGTCGACTATTGCCTTTGGCTTGATATATTTTTAACTATATATATATATATATATATATATATATATATATATATATATATATATATATAATAAAATTGTCACTAAGCTGAATCTGTAATTAAATATTTTTTGGACAATCTTATTGAAATACAGTATGAGCTCGTGAGTGAGAGCGACACTAAACACGCAACAATGTGTAAATACGCTTGCCGCAAACTTGTTTTGATCTGTGATTTTATATTTAAAGACCGACACTAGCCCGGATCGTGACAAGCTCACGTAAGCTGAGCCAAATACCCCGTTGAAACACTTGTGCTTGTGGACGCTTGTCGAGACTTACTAAGCGTGTAAATGTAGTGTAATAATTCGTTAAGATCAATGTGTGCCTATAATCACGATGCTCTACTCAAAATGTTTAGCAATAATGTAACGTATTTTAAAACTTAAAGTTAAAAATTTGTATTAGGATATCAATCAATTTTATATTAAAGGCAAACGAACCAAACCAATGATAAAGAAAAAAATATTTATCATTGAAACAAAGCCATTTTATTAAGAAAAACAGAAGCGTTATTTAAAATATTATGTTGGCACAATGAAAATTTGTGAATTCAATTTAATTCAATTATTTATATAAGAAGAATGATGGTATGCTATTAACAATCAAAAAAACTTATAAATATTTCTCAAAATGAAGGTAGTCATCCAAAAAAAATCAAATATTCTGTTACATTTATTACTGACTAAAACCCTTCCGTGGTTTTCCGTGATGCCGTCACAGACAGACAGACATATAATCTAAATACTATAGATTCGGCCTCTGCATCGATAATAATGACTATATTATTAGCGATGGGCGTTGAATGAGCGGACTTGAACTAGCCGGTCGACAAATACATTCGAAATTATTAGTTTACCCACGTGATTACACTTAAAGTTTTCTTAGAGACTTAATTAGTTTTAATAGCATCTAAATCTAAAACATTTTTACGGGTTCATTGGAAATCGGAATAGGGATGCGTGTGATTTAAATAAAGGTGAAATATTTTTGTTTACATATATTTATCTTTATTACTTTTAAATTAAGCCTATGTTAATATATTTTAATGTAATTTATTTCAAAATTTGTAAACTAGTGTAATCCATGTTCTTTGTTCTGTGGTTTATAGTATCAATAATCTGTGATGACAATATCACAGACCACAGTTGTCAATGTCAAGTTTCATCTGACATTGACAGTCGTATCATTGATGTCTGGATTAGTGTGCACTGTACTCTATTATTTTTATATTATAATTGCTGTGTGTTTTTAGCCGCCTCTTGTAAATAATATAAATCATGTAGAAAAATTTAATGCTAAATACTTATTAATTAAAAAATGAAAAACAACAAATTGTCAATGGTAATTACATAGTTCAGAAAACTTGATTGCAGAATGACCGTGAGTAGATAAATTTCTATTATTATGAAATCGTAGCTATAATATTGTAACTTATCCAATTCATACATCCCATATCTGCTTCCTTTTGATAACTGTGTATAATCATTTGTGAATAATGAATATATGTATTTATGTCAGTAACATTTTGTCCAGTGTTAATATTAACAAATGTAGTTTCCATATTTGCGATCGAAAAAGTATATTTATTGATAATTTACGCTATTGCTTCGAAGTTTGAATCAGCTTTAAAAATATACATTTTAGTAAACCGTCAGTGGGCATGACTATGTAAGTATCATTATTATTTAAAATTTATAGTTCATACAGTATTACTAACTGTTTGTACTTTAGTACTGGACTGTAGTCATAAAAAATACAATAAAAAATTTAATTTTAATTGCTCAATCAACTTTTAACTAAGCTATAATATTTTCTTTAGGTAAATTGCTTAAGAAAAATGTTAGAATACTTTGTTGATATTGTAAGTATTCTTAAATGTTTTTTTTTTAAATTTAATCTTTTATTCTGTACAGAGATCATAGTAATAGGTATTTCTATATGAAACACAACATTGCCCCTACTGTGAGAATTTACAGCAATGGTGATGGTCAGTATCTTACTTAAATGTACAATATCTATGTGTAATATTAATAATAATATATATGTATATATAATATATATTATGTAAAATTTTAATTATTCACAAGAAATATTTAATAATATTATTTTAAATTGTTTATATATTGTTAATTGTTATATTTTAAACTGGAAGTTTTGTTTCTTATAGGGAATCTGAATAACCTGTTGTTTTTCTTAGTAGATATAGAAATTTGATGTTTCATAAAAACTCCTTTGTCAAATAAGGATACCATTTTATTATTAGGGTTTACAAAGAGTTAAAGTAGAAAAATAAAATAGGTGTCAATTAACAAACTTTATTATTAAAAAACACTATAGTATGTACTTTTAACTATTTTTTAACTTTTAATAATATAACTTATTTTTGTCATAAATTGAAAAGCTTTACATATTATGAATGTCATCTATCATTTTACAATTAGTGCGTTTCAAGACTCCAGTTTAAAATGTTAGAGCTAAAACTGTACTACATACAAATATGAAATATTGTTTTGACATTTGGAAAACATGCCTCATATTGCAGACTTACGATTTTGTCTTATAATCTTGAGCTTCATTAAAACCTACATGAAAGTAGTAGGAAGAAAACATTTTTAATTCATACAAAGGGGCTACCTGTTATTACGTGAGCTCAAAATGGAAGGGGGAGGAGAGGGGGGGGGGTGTCTATTCCAGTAAAATCTCATCCAATCTCATATAAACTGACAGAAATGTAATTATATATCTATATATTATATCTCCCATATATCTATATCTGTATAATAAATATAAATGTGAAAGTTTGTGAGTATGTATGGATGTTTGTTACTCTTTCACGCCAGAGCGGCTGAACGGATCTAGATGAAATTTAGCTCAGAGATAGATTATAGTCTGGAATAGCACATAGGCTACTTTTTATCCCGCAAAATATACGGTTCCCGAGGGATATATTTGTTTTTGTTTTGCTAGTTATATATAATTCACTAAAAACTTTAACCTCATTAGTTTAATTACAATGTCGTGTACAGATAATAAATATAATAGGTATCTAGTCTGCAATATGCAGTGCTCATAACAATCGCACGTGAACAAACACAAATAACAAACTACTTATGTATATTGTAAACAAACAAATGCTTGTAACTGTTTAAACAATCTTTTCAATGTCTATTAACATTTTCAGTATCGGTGGTGGTTAGCACTCGGCTAAAATCCTTTGTAGACATTTATCGTATTGTGTTCCCGCAACGAATTTACCATATTGAAGCGTTAAATTAAAAAAAAAATTGTTCGGTTAAATGTACTTATCTTACGGTTAATTTATATTTTATGTAATTTTGTATTATTTACGTAATATATTTTTATATTATGACTACGAAGGTGATGAAACTAAATAATTTTTATTAAAAATATATTATTTGATATTTTTGAATAAATTATGATTACAAATAAGAAAAATACAAAAATAAATTAAAACGAATTTAATGAAAAGTATTTACTGTTTTAAAAAAAGTACGACAGATAATAAATAGCATATTTAAATTGTAGGCATACGTTGTAATGTCCCAACATATAATGAAGCTATATTATTTACAAACAATGTAGATTGTAGATAGGTACATATATCAGTATGTGGTTAGTTATTTAAATTAATTGTTTTTGCCACAATACAGATCGAACAGACGTTCCGAGAACATATGTAAGTACTTTAAAAAAACCCTACAAGAATTTTAAGTTTAACTTTTGTAAGTACTAACTTTATTATATATTTTAAATTCCTTTTTTTTGAAAAGAAAGTATCTGTTCTTTATTTCTACTAATATTATCAATGCGAAAGTTTGTGAGGATGTATGGATGTTTGTTAGTTACTCTATAACGCAAAAACTACTGAATGGATTTTAATGAAACTTTAACGCAAACACTCATACAAAATGTTTATTTTTTCAATATTAGTGTGATTTTGTAATTTGTTAAAAGCAATTATTTGCTCCTTTCTCAAATTTTGATTGAAACTACGTCATTATTAACAATTACATATAGAACTTGTGACTTAAAATAACAAGTATCAAGCACGCATTACTTAAATTATTGTAGTAAATATATATATATTTTCTGATTTTCTGTTATATATTTTTTAATAATATGTTTTTGTCAATTCGATTGAAATGAAACAGCTGTGTATATAAAAGTTAAAGTGCGTATGTTTATTTATAGCTAGATTGTGAACAATGAGACCTAATTTTGTACTGTTGAAAGAGAATTTAGAATTGATAGCTAAGTCATTGAACTATGGCCATCGTAATGTATAGACACAAATATTTTTCATTAATTTATTGTTGAAGGTTAGACGTAGACATAAAAAATCAGAGAAGCTTGATAAAAGTACTAAATGTGTAAAGATTAAAATAATAGTAAAAAATACATTTAACAATGTAGATATTTAATCGATTTTTTTATACTTTAATTAAACGAAAAGTTTTGTCTTCTCAAAATATTTTTTTACTACAATTTTTCAATGTTGAACAAAAAGATTGAAGTGATTTAATTCTCTTTTCGCCGCGGAATGATTATTTAATTATTATTTATGCGTGTAATAAATATCCTAATACGAAATTGTTTTTCTTTTGAAAATAAATAAGCCAGGAAAAATCGACGAATGGAACAATATCTTAAAAATTCCATAGCTAAGTGCAAAAATAATGTCGAACTATTAAAGGGAAAAATAGTTTACAAAATAATTATTTGACAAAAGATAAAAATTCTCATAACTTCATTGTTATGCATCCGCTGTGCTCGTCACATTCACAACGCTATTTTAATGAGAAAAATATTACAATACTAATATATAATAAATTATTGATAATATTTACAATTCGATGCGTTAGCGTAGTGTATAGACGAAAAGCAAAAAAGCTGTTACTCCATTATCATACAACGTTGTAGATTGAAGAATATTTTCACAAATTAACAGTAGTGGCATTTCGTTGCGTGAACACAGTTCGTTAACGGCAAAAAAAAGTAAAAAAAAAAGATTGTCTTTGGTCAATTTTCGCAATGTACACCCCTGTGCAGGATGGCAGGGTGATGGGGCGTCGCTTTGTGCTAACTCTGGTGATTGGGATATCCGCGGGTTTTAGTTTCGCGTATATTCTGCTAACCTCGGCCGGATTCACGCGGGATGTAGCTTGGTCCTACAGGTAAAGGCATAACTTTCTACTTCTTCCATCTGTATTATTCTGTATCTGTGCTTCGTTTGTGTCGCATGGCGCCTTTTTTGTGCATTTTAAATTAATTTGTAGACCAATTATTTGTTCGCACTGCATGAATATAAAAAGGTATGTATGTATTGTTTTATTATTTATTATAAACATTTTAGGTGTCTTCAAATACCAATTTGTAGTTTTGCTATAAATTAATATTTTTATGTTTTGTTTTAATTATTTAAGTTTTTAAGTATCTTAGTACATATCTTTTTACCCATACATTTTTTTAATATTACATTCTAAAAGCGTCGATCAAATTGCCAAGTGGAGATTCAGTCAAAAAATATTTTCATGAGGGTTATTATATAGGTAAATTATAATTTACACGTTTGCTAGAAAATATCATCTGCCCAATAGTAAAGAAAATGAACTTAAGCGACAGTACATCTATGGTTGTGAAAAATGACACTAATAAAACTTCGAGATATTCCTTGCATTTATTTATATATATACAGTACTTTTGCAACTTATTTCTTTTATAATCGTTTGTATGTCTGTCCGTGTGGAAGCTAACACCGGCTCGGAAAGCAGTTCAGCTGAGAAGAGCCGGCGAGAAACTCAACAGTTGCTCTTCTAAATAATGAGTTACTTAATTTATACCTAATAATAATTTACAATATTACAATTTACATACAATTCATGACTAGTCACTACAATGTGGTACCAACATCTGTGCAAAAGCGCGGGAAAACAAATGAATATCCGCGTCTTTTTTTTTTTTTAATGCATTCCTATCGGCCAAGATCGCATAACTAAATGCTTTTTGATGTCACGTGACAATATGTTCTGTACCTATACTCTATAGATACATTTACCCCATTATAGTTTACCCGTCACTGAAAGCTCGATAACAACAGTTTTGCCGTTTTGTAGATTATTGAGTAGTTTCTACATAACAGATAATTTTGTTACATTAGGAAATCACGGTATAGTATATAATTTATTTTCAAGTTTGTGATATTTGTGCTAGATAAGAAATATAAAAATCCGAATTCGGAATGCGTAATAAATTGTTAAGTAAGATACCTATTCTTTAGTATTTGTGCGAAAATTATAGCATAAATGTTTTTTTTTTCAATTGTATGTGAATGGCGAGCTTTACAGTTATCAAGAAAAACGAAAAAAGATGAATTATCAAGCGAAAAATGATCAAAAGAGTTATGAGAACGAAAAAAATAATAAAGGATTCTTATATGGATTAAATCCTACAAAGTATTATATATGTATTATGTGGTATACCACTTTAAAAGGGCAACTTTTTTTTTTAGTATACTAAAAGAAAAGTTGCCCTTTTAAAAAAAATCTTACAATTAACTCCAAATTAGATAACAGAGTCATCATCATCTCCCTGCCCATTTCCCAATCACTTGGGTCAGCGCAGTACATCTTCCACTCTATCAGCAGTGGATTTGGCAAAAGTTTTACGACCGGCCGCCTGTCTGACATCAACCCTCCTTGGGAATCCCAATAATAATTTATTAATAAAAATAATTTAGATAACAGATTATGGTATTGATATAGACACACGTACAAAAAATATTTTTATAAATAAAAATAGAACAACAACAACTTCAAAGTCTCTTTCCAACTTAACTGAAAAGCTTTTATAATACAATAGAGAATCGACCAATGAGGTCATAACTTATAAAGATCAAGCGTCAGACTATGTACTTAAAATTTTCTTGACTCCAATAAAGTATCACACATATAGACAAAGTAGGCACTTAATTTGAATACCTTTTTATAATTGTTACTAAATACAGATAAATAAAATTAACGTGTCTGTTTGTAATATCAAAATAACAGCCTTTTACTAAATGCATATAAAATTATACACAGTCCCTAGGTATCTACGTTTTAATTTTTTTGAGCGGAACTCTTTTTCTAAAATAAAAGTAGCCTAGAAGTTACTTCTTATAACATCAGCTATCTGCCAGTGTCAGTCTCGTTAAAATCGGTTCAGCCGTTTCGGAGATTAGCCAGAATAGCCAGATAGACAAAATAACGGCTACGATAGCCAGACAGACGATTTTTTTAAATTATGTTTTTCTTATGAATGTTGTAGAATTACTGTAATATATAATTGTACTTACAACGAAAGATGAGATTGTTGTTTATTAATTTTTAATTGATATTTTGATTGAATTGCAAGTTAGTAGTAGCGCCATTTAAACATGTTGAGTTATAAGTATTATGCGTTTAATTTAACTGGAATTTACATTATAATTTTTTGTACTTAAGTGTTTAAAAGAGTTAATTAGATTCTTTGTATGTTACGTCGTACTCTTAACACTTTTAGGTAAATTTCTAAGAAGTCTATTGTTAACTGTAACGCCGGCGTGTCCGCGGTCGTGGAGGGATTAAATCTATACATATACCTAATAAAATTGTAGCCGAATCTGCACATTAAATATTTTTTGAAAAATCTTATTGACATAGACATTATTATCGATACAGAGGCCGAATCTATAGTTTTTACAATTTATGTCTGTCTGTCTGTCTGTCTGTTACCGCATCACAGAAAAACCACTGGAGGGATTTTGATGAAATTTGGTATGGTGATAGCTGGTTATCCGGATCAACATATAGGATACTTTTTACCGCGGGAGAATATCTCATTTCTGAGGAAAAATACAAAAACTGCATTGTAAGAGTATACTAATATGTAAAACCTAAACATTAGGTTTTTGGTCATCTGAACGCGGGCGGAGCCGCGGGGCAATGCTAGTAAGAAATAAATAATTTTCGTCCCGGTGGGTTTTTTTTCGCCAGTTCTTCTCAGGACTGAGGCTTTTTTCTTTTCAAACTGGTAGACTCATAACAGGTATATTGTCTCCGTCGATAGTTCATATCGAGTATACTTACATATATTCTGGTAAGATTACTAGAATACGATACAAATATACTGTCAAAATTTAAAGAATTTCATTTTGCAGACAAAAAATCTAAAAATCATTGTTATATTGTGTTAATAAAGACCCCCAATAATAGTTTTTCTCAAATATCTTTTAATGTACAGACAGCGAGCAGTTACAATTTTATTATATGTATACGTAACCGGGATAATTAATGAAAAAAAATCATACAGTGAAAACTAAAAATCCATTCCGTCATTTTTTTTTTAATTGGAATGCACCTACATATATAGCAACTGCTTTATTTTTTTATTACTTTTATTATGTATTTTTATACGCTATCTTATGTCATTTATTAAAAGTTGTTTTATAAGATCTTTTGTGTCTGCGTTTGCGGTTTGCATTTAAATTGAAAATTTTGAGTTTAAAACTGAAGTTTAAAAAACTAACTGAAATAAGCTTATCCAATTAAATTATAAAGAACATTAAAAAAAAAAATTTGACTCGAGTAGCAAAATCGAATTGTTAATTCAATTATTATCAAAGAAGTTTATTTAAATTGGTTAATTTTAGTTTGTTACTAATAACGTATTTTTTTTTAATTTAATTATGTGGTTAATTTATAAATCGAATTATTATAACCGATTTTTTTAAAGGTATTATTCGAAAAAATAATCTATATCTTAAAAAATACTCAAACTTAAAAAAATGACTTTCGCGAAATGATTTTTGTTAAAATTTCATTATTATATTGCGGAATAAACGTTTTTATCTGCATACATTGAACAAAAAAGTACTTGATACACAATCAGCGACAAAAAATGTCCTCACCGAACGAGCGCTCATTTGAACATCTGAGCGCACTTTTAATTTTTTTTGCGAAAACAACTTTAAGCATTGCATTTCAGGTTTAATTTACATTGTTGTATATTTATTTCAACTAGAATAGCTTATTTTTATTATACCTTAATATAATTTGTGACAGTTTTAAGAGAACTTTTGGCATGGGATTGTGTATCTAGTATTTTTTAATGATATCTGCATATTAGGGTTGTTTTATTGATATTCTCACAAAGAAAAATTTTGTAGGGACTCCGCTAGAGATTTGGAAAGGCATCCCATACCAAATGTAATCGATCATGGCAGTGAAGAGCCGGCACATAGAGATGAAGACAGATCGGTCGCTGATGAACTGGCCAAACGCGTCAGAGTACTTTGTTGGGTGATGACCCAGCCTAATAATCACAAGAAAAAAGCAATACATGTAAAAGCGACGTGGGGAAAGCGATGCAATAAACTGCTGTTCATGAGCACTTCTAACGGTCAGATTGTTAGACTTTTGTATGTTTTTGTAATTTTAGACAAGTTTTTGTTTTATCATATTTGAAATTACTTGTTTGTGTTAGCCTTTTTATAAGTTTTCATTATGAATTATTTTATTTTATTTTTTGATTAAGACATTTTTAATAAAATGAAAGCAAAAATAGACTAAGTTTAATAGAGTAAAAAGTTGAAATTTCTTAGTATTTCCAAATATTTCTGCCAAAGGCAGTGGTAGGCCAGTGGTGACGCGCTCGCTTGGGAAACTGAGTGAAGCGGATTCAAATCCCGGGTCAAGCGCCCGTGATATTTTCATGTGCTAATCATTTCCAACATGATTACCACTTGTTTTACTAGTAAAACATCGTGTGAAAACCTGCATGCCCGAGAGAAGCTGGCAAGTTTTCGAAAGACATGTGAAGTCCGCCAACCCGCACTTGGGCAGCATGGTGGGCTATGGCCTGATCCTCCTCGTAGGACGTTAAAAAGGGCTGAATACGAAAGATTTCATGAATATGTTGTATAGTAAAGACTTCCAAAGTTTGAATTAGTCTATTTTTGCATTGATAATCTAAAATAAAATATTAATAAATAAAATATTAATTAAATAATCAGATCTTTTCTTATTATACAATACTATAACCCTTGCAGATACTTCATTACCATCTATAAAGCTGCCAGTATCTGAAGGTAGGGACTATCTCTGGGCGAAGACCAAAGCGGCGTTTCGATATGTGTACGAGCATCATAGAAGAGACGCGGATTGGTTCTTGAAAGCTGATGATGATACGTATGTACTATGTATAATGCTATTATAATTGGGAAATTTGTATGGGTATGTGTGTGTGGGTATGTTTGTGTGTGAATTTTTCGCGGATTTAGGACTTATTTTGATATTTAGATTTTTTGTTTGTAAGCTCATCATACGCTATTTGATAAGTCATCTTGGTTTAATGGTGTTCTTTTTTGACTACAATTATTTAATTTATAACTATTGATACGGTGGCTGAATTTGTTTATATTTTTCGCGAGTTATTTTGAAAATTATTAATGATTTCCAGGTACGTAATAGTAGAGAATCTGAGGTACATGCTCTCTGAGCACGATAGCAATGATCCCATTTACTTCGGATGTCGCTTTAAACCATTCACTTCTCAGGTAAGTTGTTATATTTTTCAATTATTTTTTTTTTATTATAAATGGTTGAATTACGATCTGTTTATTTGTTTTCTATTGAAATAAGTATAGACTTAGTGGTAGTATAGTGATAACCTGCTCCTTAAAATCCGATGACGTGAAAAGATAAGTTCAAAATATCGGTCAGGTCAGATGTACGACATCTGATATTTTCATGTGCGAATAATTTTGAAAATCCTTGAAGAAAAACATTATTAGCAAACCTTCATGTCTGAGAGAATTTTGAGATAACTAGTTACGGCTAGTCTTATCATTATTGATTACTAGCAGAACCCGCGGCTTCGCTCGCGCTAAAACTACAAAAAAATCTCTAAAATTATAGTTTCATATAAACTTTCATCCCCTATTTTACCGCCTTATAGGATGAATTTCGAAAAATGCCTTAACAAGTATTTATTTAATTTTATTGAAGAGCATTAATACCAAGTTTCAAGTAATTCTGATCATAAATATTTTTTTGGATTGTATGATTATAACGTGTTTTCCGTGGGAATTAGATAATCTTCCGGGGTAAAAAGTAGCCTGTGTCTGTTTGTTTGTCTGTGTGGTGTGTGCTTAAGCTCAGAGTTATTTATGGTCTAGCGCTATCTGTGTGAATAATGTTGCGGGCTATGTGCTGCCTCGTAATTATTTAATTTGTGAGTAAAGGTAGATAACGTGTTTGTCTGTTTGTCTTGTGTAGTTCTATATTAGTGGCAGTGTCGAGTATGTCGAGTACAGCACAGCACGCTGTTTCATAGTTATTTAATATATAAGTGAACATAACGTCTGTCTGTTTGTCTGTATTGCATAGAGCTACATGATGTCTCTCATTTCGAAAGCGGTGGATATTAGACTGTGGAACCTTCCAATAATATTTGTAGTCTTTTAAATAGTTAGTTCATTCGTGTGAGAAGTTGACGAGTCTGTCTGTTTGTGTGTGCGGTGTAGGGGTACATGAGCGGCGGCGCGGGGTACGTGCTGTCGCGCGCCGCGCTCGACCGCTTCGTGTCGCGCGGCCTGCCCGCGCCGCACCTGTGCAAGGCCAGCGACCACGGCGCGGAGGACGCCGAGATGGGTATGTCCTCTATACATATATACAGATAAACAAAATTGAAGTGTCTGTTTGTAATGTCAAAACAACAGCGTTTTACTAAATGCATATTATGAAATTATATGCGATACTTTAAAGAAAAACACATATTTTGTTTAATTTCTGTCTGTCAGTCTGTCTGTTTCGGATAATCTCTGAAACGGCTGGATTGATTTTGACGGGACTATTGAGATAGCTGATGTTATAGGGAGTAATATAGGTTACTTTTGTTTTAGAAAAAGAATTAGGGTTCCGCTCAAAAAAAAACTAAAATTAATTTTCGTTCCAGGCATATGTCTCCAACACATTGGCGTCAAAGCAATGGATTCGAGGGACTCCCTCCATCGCGGCCGGTTTTTCCCCTTTGTGCCCAAGGACCATCTGTTCCCAAACAAGGACAAAGGTTTCTGGTACTGGCAGTACATTTACTATCCCACTGATGAGGTGAGCTTAAATTGTTTTATTTTTAATATATTTTTTTAAAAGAGTTTGTTCACAATTTGGGCACCCTCATAGGAGCTTACAGCTATTTTATTAATATTATTTATTTATGGTAGCTTGGACTGTGTAATATTTTTATATTGGCTGTCTGTTCATCAATAAAAGAACAGAAAATGACATACTGAAAATTAATATCATATTAATTTATATTATTCTTAATGTTAATTTTTTTTGAACATGATATTATGGGGTTTGAATTGCCTGCAATAAATGATATTATTATAAATTTTATATAGTATTCTAGTTTCTTTTAGGATGACCTAAAATACAATGAGAGCTATCGTTTCTGGCGGCACCAGCTGGCGCCACTGGCGCGTGAGGTCCTATCGCTATCGTTGAAAAGTATTCTCTCGTGCAGCCATAAATTTAATATAATAATAATAATTGCTAGGGCGGCATCAGTTTTTCAGGATTTTGTTTTAAAATAATTAATATATAATAACTAAACAGAAAATATTGAAATTTTCTCAGCTCTTGTTTTAAAGCAATAACATTTATTGAGCCGTACAGTTTCTTGCATAATTAATCAGGAATGCCACAATCTTTACAATAATCATGAATAATAGGTGAAAATCCGCGATGAAAAGCTCGCAAGCAGTAAACGTACAGTGTCCTTTGACATTTGTAGAGACCTCACTCTATACTAGCGACCTCTCGCGGCGAATTCAAGCGCTGTAGACCCCATTGCATAAACCTAGTTCAATCAATAATACTTAACTATACTAATTAATACTTGTTAATTCTAATTTCGCGACATCATTTCGAATACATTCCACCAGGTCATGGTCAACATTCAGTCTAAATTGTTTAAATTCAGCCATTTTTAACAGTCTTTCATTAGTTTCTCTTGTAACTAACAATATAATCAAATCAAACCTTGGGAGTCAATTTTGACCAACTAATTGTCGTATCGATATGAAATTTCGTATGTACATATATGTAGTTCGGATGATTTATATTTTGGTATCTTGGAGCTGATCTGATGATGTGGTCAAGAGATAGATAGTGGAAGTCTTTAGTGGCTACTAGTAAATATCTGTATTTAGCCCTTTTTCAACGTCCAACTACTGGGCGTGGACCTCCCTTCGGTGCGGGCGGACTGGGCATGTCTTTTCTGTCACCCTAAGATATAGATAGATAATCACGTTAAAAATGATTCACACATGAAAATATCAAAGATGCAAGATCCGAGAATTGAACCAGTTTCACTTAATTATTCAAGCGATCACTAAGCGGATTACTTCCAAATTTTCGGTGATGATAACATCAACATATTGTAACGTCAACACTACACAATCTTAATTTCACTTAAAACGAAAAGTTTGAAGAATACAAATGCTCTCCATCATTCCAGGGTCTCGACTGCTGTTCCGACCACGCCGTGTCCTTCCATTACGTGGAACCAGAACAAATGTACGTATTGGACTATTTGATATATCACTTACGACCTTACGGCATCAGCTACGGTGGAGGCACTCTGCCTAAGAACGACACCCGACTTGAGGGATAGATTTAATAATGATATTATACAATATGCTCATATATTAATTTTGTTGCTTAATTTACAGAGTAAATAGTTTTTTTTTATATATATTTTGATGAAAAAATTTCGGATTTTGTATGTAAGTTAATCGGTTTTGCGAATCGATATTGAATTGAAAATCGATTTACATCGATTGGAAAATCGGCAATTATTGTATCTTCATAATAACTCGATTTGCTTGAAATATGTGATGTAATGAGTGTTAAATGTAATTTAAAATTATGCCCTTGATTTTGTATATATTGGGATATACAAAACAATTTTGTATGAATCATTCAGATATCTTATATTGTGTAGTGAAGAAAATTTTATATTTTGCATATTTATTTCAATAAAACAAATTAAAATTAGATTTTTTCAAAGTGCATAAAACAAAAGAGTTAGAAAAAAATAATGATTTTTAATATTATCGTTTTTTTAAAAGCGGTAAGTATACGAAACCGATATGTGCATTAAAATCTTATGACTTCATGACGTTTTTGAATATAACTAATAATAAATTCGATGAGGCTTTGTATGTACATGACTTTTGCTTCTTCGAATGGTTTAAATGTAAAAAAAAAAGATTAAAAAAGTCAAAAATTGTAATGGCAACATTGGCTTAGCAATACTTTTTATTCTTAGTCATTTGCCACAGCATCGTTTTTTTTTATATTTAATTCAGCATTTCATATACTTAGTAGCTTTTGAATTTCGTCTTAAAGGCGTCAATTGATCATATTTGTAAATATTTTCGAGAGTGTGGGTAATAGAAGAATAATTCCAAAATGTAAAATGGAAGTAAAATGGATCCTAAAATAATTTTAGAATTTCAATAAGAATTTCGATAGCTAACGTGTATTTAGATCTTTTACAATTTCATATGAAAATCTCATCTACATACATATTATAGTTATAAGCTCGTAAATAATAATCCTCCAGGTCATGCAAATATAACTGACAGGATGTTGCTTGGAAATTTGACTCTTATATACATTGGAATAAGGTATATGATATACCTTAAGGTGTATGTAATATAGTTCAAAATAAATTTTAAAATTGCAGTTTTAGTTGGTCTGTAATGATATTAGAACGCAGCTCGTAGTGACGTGATGTAAACGAAACTTGCCATAAATAATATAATTATTTATATAAAGCATAATATATTGAATATTTACATTTAATTTTTATGTATTTTTAATTGTATATATTAATATGTACATTTTTTATTTTGAAGTTGAGTGTGTACTTTTACATAGCTCAGAGAAACATACATACAGATAGATTATTTATTATTGAACAAAGCACATGGAGTTTATGCAAAGATTAATATATTATTTATGTGTTGGCAGCTTTCATCGATTTGTCAAGTTTGACAGTGACATATTATCATAAAAAAATACATACTTCATGTTTAGTAAGAATAAATATCATTTCTGAATTATTATTGAGCTATGGAAAATGTAAACTTGATAATTTTCATGTGATAATTAGAATTTTATATCGCTGCTATAAATTACTTATTTTATTCAAATAACACTTATTTACTATATTTTTTAAAATTTAATTTCAAGTGGTAAAAGTAATATTTCACAATATATTGCATAGGCTGGGTTTATGTAGATAACAATATGGAATATGCGTGTGATTTAAATAAAGGTGAAATAATTTTTTTTATAATCTTTATTGCTTTTGAATTAAGCCTATAAGCGACAAAGCTCTTTATACGGAGATTAAAAATAAATTAAGCCTGTATTCATATTTGTTAATGCAATTTCTTTTTGGCAATACTGACTCTATAATCATACTGTGACGTCACGCCAAGCGCTCCAAAATGGCGGCCGATTCAAGTATCCATATCAGTATGATATTTTTAAAGATTTTGTTATATATTAAATTTTAGTTTTATGGAGCTGGTTTTTTTTCACAATTATATAACAATGTTAAGCTATTGTGTAAAAGATAAAAAAAAATCACGCATAATCCCTATTGTTAAAAAAAATGTGGGAATTTTCATGGAAATTTTAAGTATAAGTTTTACTTTGAATTTATTGTACCAATATTTTTTTAAGCATTTATATAAAATCGTTTTTTAAAACAACAGAGGTAACGTAGAAAGACAAATACTCACTATGAGTTACTTAGATCTAAGAAAATCTACACACGAAACAGACTTTGTATGTAAATAATTTTAAATAATGGGTGCGTGTAACCTTTACGCGCGGTTGAAGTAAAACTTCTTTGGGAAATATCGCAATCAAATTAAAATAAATCAATAAATAAATACGGCATTTTACAATCATATATTTATAGAATATTATATTATATATTCGTCGGACAATAACAACGGTTACCATGGCAACATGGCAATGTATTCTATCTCATTCTCTCGCCGGCTTAATCCTATATATTTATGTGTTTGTCTCTTTCTAGTGTCGCATTTCCGTTTCATCGAGTTTCAAATCACAACGATTTTAAAGAAGTTTTACTTCAAAAACTAACCCTAATGTTTATATTGGCGTAATCTCGTTTGAATTTCGTTCTTATCGTTTTGATATTAAGGTTCGTTTTCGTGTGTAATTTAATGTAATTAAGAAACTAGTCGTTACATTCATAACATAACCAAAGAACTCTATTTGTTTAGATTAAGTGAAGCACATATATATTTACATTATTTACATTTCTTTATATCTGTGTGTGTGTGTACTTATGTACGAACGTAAGGAGTTATACTTCTTTGGCGTAACAGAACAAAAATAGCTAAAGATTTCATCCCGTATGACACAGCTCTCTGTTTGTAAAAGGAATGCAGCTAACTTCATCGTGTCGCTTTTTGGCTGTCAATGTGTGTGCGCATCGTAAAAATTTTACTCTCATATTTTTTTTTCCAAACGTGCCAAAAGAAGTGTAACTTCAAAAATATGTATATTCCAAAGACTAATTAATGTCTGAAGCATTAGTTTACTGTGTGGAAAATGATAGAACTTTTTTAATCTATACACTATATTTTTAAAGAATCTCAATACTTTTTGAAAAGGCCTCAGAATTGTACGGTGAATTTTTATTTTATGTAACAAAATCTTCGAATTGTAGTAAATATTGATGTTAACTGTAAATCCTAATTTTTACAGCTATTTTATTCCTCAGCTTGCCATAATTTTATATATATTTATGATAGTATCCAAAGTTAGTCATTATTCCAAAAATGCTATTAGGTAGTTGTTTGTACTCCTTAGTACCGTACCTTTTCCGGGATAAAAAGTAACCTATGTGCTATTCCAGACTATAATCTATCTCTGAGCCAAATTTCATCCAGATCACTTCAGCCGTTCTGGCGTAATTGAATAAACAACCATCCATCCAAATTTTGCATTTGTTATAATATATTAATAATAGGATGCCTGAAAGAGAAGGATCATGGAGTGAGTGAGACAGCTAACAGTTGATTTTGTCCTTTTCTACTTACACCCTTCTAGCAACGATCATATGTAATGACGATCCTGATCACGTTAAAAGAAGGGCTGAATAACAATACTTTGTGGCACATTTTAAAATGTCTAAATATATTAATTTTAATTTTTTTTTGAGTGTCACATCTATACTAATATTATAAAGAGGAAAGATTTGTTTGTTTGTACCGAACAGGCTCCCAAAACTACTGAACTGATTTAGATGAAATTTGGTAAGAAGATATTTTGAGACCCTGGGAAGGACATAGGATACTTTTTATCCCGGAAATTATCCCTTAAGGGTGTGAAAATAGGGATGAAAATTTGTATTGGGAAGCAACCTAGGGACGAATCTGAGCGAAGCGAGGGTGCGTCGCTAGTAAGTAATATATTATTATAAGTATACTTTCCACAACAAGTCATACCTATTAGCATTTTGGAAAAATATAAATATATGAAACTATAAACATTTTTTGTTTATACATTTTAATTGCTAAGTAACAGTGTTCCTTTTTTTACTAAGATTGTAAAATTTTTGATTTGCTCAATTGGTTATTTAATATATTTATTTTAAAGCGTATATTGTGATTTAATTCTGATTTGTTCTCATAAAGCATTTTCACTTGATTTTGTGTTTTTATTTGTTCACCCCTTTTGAATTCATTAATATTATCGTCTATTATATCAACATGGGCATACGGCGCTCAACTCTGGGGTAGCGCATGTGACTCCAATATTGGCACTCGGGGCTAGTGCCCAGGGCGATAAATTTTTAGGAGCGGCAAAATACGGAGGGTGGGAAAAAATTCTCTTCACGTTATCGAAAACGCTTTCTTTATTTTCCAAAAAATGATTAATTAAAAAAAACTAGTTTAGTACATTTTTCGAAAAATTTAAATCATTTTTAAGTTATATTTTTGCATTTTTCAAATATAATAAAAAAAACTTTATACATTTATACATTTTATGCAAAATTTCGATAACAGGGCGGCGTTTTTTACTATGCCCAGGGGCGGCGGTAAGGTTGAATTCGGCCCTGCTTGCTAATATAGAACGGGCCTGGATAATCACCCTAACATCCTACCACACCGACTTCTGGACGATAATTGTCCAAGACGTCTCAAAATAGCCATACTAGATCCAGCATTATAATTCTAGCTTTAACTATGAATGAGATTAAATCCTAATGAGGATCAACTTCACCTGACAGCAAGCTAAGCAAAATCATTATTACGAGTAACTATCCTACAACGGATATCCGGTGCAACAAATCGTATCGTCTTTATTCGAAATAATGTTTGGCCTAAACCTGTATTAGTATAGTGTTATGTGATATAAATAAAATGATAAATAAATAAATATGTTGGGACATTAACACACAGCACCATCTAGTTCCATGGTAAGCTACGAGGCTTGTGTTATGGATACCAGATAGTTGATACACTACACATATGTAACTTTAAATATGATGATGATGTTCTCCTAGCCGATTCCGGCCACGGCGGCCAATCTCAATGAGATTAGCCAACTGCGCAG